GCACCCTTGTTTGTGATTCATGGGCACTAGGCAGTCTAAAAACAGCTCTACTGATGCTCTCCTACAGACCAAGACTGTGCTAACAGTGATCCAAGCATCCCTCTGTGTGAGCTGTACACCGCTATACTGTTGGATACAAATGGTAAGTGTGATTTCTAACAGCAGCACAAGCTTGCTTTAGCATGAGTAACCTTTTTAAAATCAGTGGGACTATATTTGGATTTTACTTCCAAGCAACCTGGCTCTGGACTTGAGGAAAGTCAATAATCCGCAGAAAGATCAAGTTGGGAAAAGATGAAGAACATGTCCAGTGTAGATGACAGACCAAAAAAAGGCAACCTTCACAGGCATAAAGAAGAAAAACCCTGTAACAGCCCTGATTAAGCAGGCACAGAAAGAAAATGAATTTCTGGATTAGCGTAGCATTTATAGGGAATGTACATGCAGAGCAAAGGAATCCGATTAAATAGAGAATAGCCAGCATCAGCACTAGGGTGGCTGAATCAGTGAAGATGGAAAGTTTGACCATGACATATATTTCTGACTCAGATACGCTTTAAGAGCATCAGGTTTGTGTCTGGTAAACGTTCCATTGAGGCAGTTGCAGGCAAGCAACAAGAGACAGCTTAGCCCAGCAGGGTCGATGCTCACAGGTACAGCAATGTCTCCAAACCACTGAAACACATACCCAGAGTGTGTGTGGGAAGCTGCATGCATTGATCCAGTCCAATTCTCAAAAGTTAGTAAAAAGTGTCATTCAGGTTCCTTGCACAGCAAACAGGGAGAGAAGCAAGCTCATTAAGGCAGTTACTCACTTTTCTCCTCTGCTACCAAAGGTCATCAATAGCTAATAACAGAGTAAGGCAGACATGAAACCAAGGAGGTATTGAAGGGCTGTCACTAACAGAAAGAAGCACAAATCTGCATTGTCTACATAGTTTCCCTAGATTACTTTTGTTTCCTTCAGAAACACTCAGAAAACAATCTCTGAACTATACAAGTTGGGAAGAACAGCCAAGTCTTAAAAAACAAAGTGAGAAAATGAGTTTTGGCAATTGCAACACTTAAACCACTTCTAGATGTGCGTCAAACCAAGATGGGCATCTCGGTACACACAAGTTCAATGGGATGCAATAGCCCGTGGATTTAAGAAAAAAATACAAAGTTTACAGAGCAATATGCACAATCCAGATTCTTGAGACAAAAAAAAAGGCACTTGTGACCTATGGCTGGTCAAATCCAAATAAAGAAAAGCCTCACTGCATAACCTTCAGTGAAGGGACAATTGAATTTACCTCTATTTTTAGCACCTGAGAAAAGAGGGAAGACTATCTTAAATTAGCTCACCAATGAAGGGGAGAAAAGGAGTAAGCAGAAAAGGTCTCTGTGGAAAATACAGCCTTGAAACTAAGCTGTCTTCACAATCTCTAGTGCTGGAAATGAGGGCTTTGTTCGTCGAACAAAAAGCTACTCAATCTAGAAGATAATTGTTGGGGGTAAGAGAAACAGAAGTGTGATGAAACATCGAGATCACAGAGCTCAAGAGGGAAGCAGAGCATTTATTCATTGTTTTAGTTTTGCATGCACTTTCTTAGGAGAAAAGATGGTTTGTGCAACTGCAACCTTGACATATCAAAAAACCCAAGGGTAAATGATGCCTGTATAGGAACACATAAACATCTACACCCACAGAAAAGTTGCTCTCACCCAAATAAAACTTGGGCCTGAGAAGTCAACTTTAGCCTAAGAAATTAACTTACAGGAGCCTCCTGAACAAGGCAGCAAATTGGAAGCAAAAATTTTAAGAACCAAAAATGTTGTTAAATTATGTCCGTATTAATTCGTTCATTTATTTTTAAAGAACAAACTGCTTTTCTGTGTTAAATAGATGACCAATATTGGACAATCCTCTCACACCTTTCAAGAAAACTATGTAAAAATCATACAGTCGCATCATTTGTTAGCAACTTATTACACTTACAGTAGAAAAGAACTGTGTTCTACATTCAGTACCTTTTCCCCCAAGCACAAAAAATTTGTTTCAATCTTCTTCACATGATCTTGGCGCAGAGAGCAATAACAAGACCTTGTGAAGCACTTATCTCTATCATCTCTGATTAAATTTTAAAAATGTGATGCAAAATTAAAAGATGACAAGGCAAAAAGCATAGCCATATATATATCTGCCCCAGTAGATACTACAAGTTTCGGTCACATCAAGCACGACACATTCTTCAGATTGAAAGAATGATGGGAAAGGTCCAGCAAGTTCTGTACTAAACTTGGCTAGATCAGAAAAATGGGCAGAGGACGTGTCAGTTTTTTGTATTATAATTTACCATTTGGCAAAATGCCTTTGGTGACAGAAGAACCTAAAGAAGCCCTTGTAAGTACATTTGAATTTGAATGAACATTTGAATGGACCATTTCTATGACAGGTAAAATGGCTTTCTTCTTATCTATTGGAGATAACAGAGTTTTCCTCTATTCTAACAGCACTGCAGTGATGAAAAGTAAAAAACATTTATTTTATTCTTAGATTGTTTTGAAACCCCAACCTCAGTTTACCAAAAGTGAAATACATTCAGAGAAAGACCAATCACAGAATCACAGAATCTCAGGAGTTGGAAGGGACCTCGAAAGATCATCCAGTCCAACCCCCCTGCCAGAGCAGGATCACCCAGACCAGGTCACACAGGAATGCATCCAGGCAGGTTTTGAATGTCTCCGGAGAAGGAGACTCCACAACCTCTCTGGGCAGCCTGGTCCAGTGCTCTGTCACCCTTACAGTAAAAAAGTTTTTCCTCATGTTCACATGGAACCTCCTATGCTCCAGCTTGCACCCATTGCCCCTTGTCCTGTCATTGGACATCAGAGAGAAGAGCCTGGCTCCTTCCTCCTGACACTCGCCCTTTACAAATTCATAAACAATCTGTACAGATCTTTTAAAGCCAGTGTTTCTACAGATGCTGACACTGTATTTCTACTGAAGATAAGATGCTGGGCTGGCCAGATGTTTGGTCTGACGCGGGAAATCTCTTTTTTTCTAATTAGCAGACTTATTAAAGAAGTTCCAGTGTATTACATGGCCACATTCAGATCTTGGAGTATCTTAAGTTTGAGAGACTGCATTGAGACTGCCTTCAACAATGACTAAAATATTTGTCTCAGAATTTAAATTTTGAACTTTCTTGCATGTTTAAGATTACATCTATTTTTTCTGCGAACAACAGAACAATTTCTCTGTTAGTAACTCCTTTGGATTCTGATTTCTATAGGATGTCTAGGACAGGAACTTTCTTAGCATCGTTTGCTTACTTCTTTCCTACTCCAGTAGTGTCCTGAACAACTGTTGGTAGGCAATACCGAAATATAAGAAATCACTAAAAGCAAATTGAAGTTTTGTAGTGACGTTGTATGAAGGCACAAGACTAGAAACACCCTTAGAAAGCAGACGCCTGCCCACAAAAGGAGATGTCATCCCTGTGAAAGTGCTGTAGAAAGACCTTGTCTTTCAAGAACCAAATGCATTTCAAAAGTCAAATCTTGAAACTGTTAAACACCAACACAGTTCAGAAACAGAAAAATCTTCTAATTACTTCGCCACATAGTAAAGGAATTCAGTGCTGTAAATAATTTACCGATTGCGTAATTTGCCCACAGGCTAAAATACAACTGAAGATTCCCGAAAGCTTTGCAATGCATACAAATAAATATCGATGACTACACATATGTTATTGACGACAGGCTAAAAATGCAACTGAATATTCCCTAATGCTTTAAGATGTATACAAGCACTCACTAGCTCATCAAAACAGAAATCCACTGAATGGGAGCCCAGGCACGTAACAATCTCAACAGAGCTTTATTGTGAGTATTAGAATGCAGTCAACATTATTGCTATTATAAAAAAAACAAATCACAGAAGAAAGTATTTTGCTTCTCTTATAGAAGATTCAGTAGTAGTGCACTGCTGCCTCTCTCGGAGTGTGTAGTGACAATACACTGATGCACGTGGCTACAGCCAAACTGAGGTGGCTCTGGCCAGTTTTAGAGGAAGGAAGGCAGGCTTCTGGTTGAAGCAAACAGCCACTGAACTAGCTTTACTTATTCAATCCATAGCATAAGGCTGGCTCGTCTACTGCTAACACAGAGGCCAAGTGTGTATGGAAAGGGAAATTCACTCCTGAATGATTTTTCATGCTAGTTCGTTTTCTCCATGAGGTCTCCAATTTTTTGTATTTGAGTTGTTCAGGCTGGCACAGAACAGCTGCCAAGTGCACAATCCGCTCTCTGTGCAGTGTATTTTCACCATCATTACATGCTCCATACTCATTTTCCATATATAAACAGATATACACATAGTGTATAATACTTATTGCTAAAGACAGACCCCCACGCCCAGGACATAACACAGTATAATAAAAACCATTACCAAAGTATTTCAAACATCCTCTGTAAAATGATCACCTAAAGCCATACGGACTCAGCACAACAGAAAAAAGTGTCAGCTAATAAAACATGAGAATAGCTATGGGCCTTTCAGAAGTGATAAGGACCCTGACCTTAATAAGCACTCCAAAATTAAGGTGCATGTACTGCAACATTTCAAAGTAGGAGAGAGAAAACCTACAGTTCCAGTGTTCTAAACCGAGACAGCAATGATGGGTCCCGTTCGCAAAGGCAAAGGCATGGCATCATTGCATGCATGTCCCTTGCACATCAGCACCTCCACAAAACTACTACCAGGGCAAGGTAGCCCCGATGGCCTCACTGCACACCTCTTGGTATGAAGCCCCTGGTTGCAGGGCATTTCCCATTCCCTAATTTTGTTGTTGATTTTTACATCAAGCTCCAGTTCAGTTCAGGGTCTGTTTAGTGTCTTTTAAAGTTTCAGCGAAGAAAAATTGTTGTGGTTTCCCTTCAAATACCAAGGAAGAACATTCTGGTTTGAAAGCATTAAAACGCTTTTATAATTTTACTGTGATGTTTGAAAGACTCCTTCACATCCCGACCTTCAATTTGTTAAGGAGTGCTGGAGCCCAACAGTGCCAGAGGGGTTTTCACTGGAATATTCATTCAAGTGTAGTTAAGTCAGAAACCAGATGGGAGTAGAGGGAGATTACGGAAGAGGCTCACTAAAGGAACAAAACATCTCAAGATCTTGATCATGGCAGACACAGTCCACCCGTACACAGCTCATAGGACACACTGCAGTCTGACAGAAGAGTAGAGGAGACCTTTCCCTAAAACTGCTTCCCACAGCAGCCAGAAAGAAATGGGCACAAGAACGGAGGAGTGAAACCCTGCAGGCATCACAGAAGATGACGGAGTGGGGAAAGCTGAAGGACGAAAGGAGAAACAGATGCAAGCTGCAGAACAGACAGATGAGGAGCACGTGTAGAAGTGTAGAGACAAAATTAAGAGAGACAGGCGAATGTCAGCCATGCAGGAGGACTGCATCCATGGAAGAACACCACTTTGCCACCCAGCAAATACATGAAATCTATCAGAAAATTGCAACTCATCTTCTTTAACTATTTTAGACAACAGGCTTCTACCATGGTTCAGCTATGGAGTAATTTACAAAGATCTATGTATCTAAGGCCAAAATACCCAAAATATGGGCATTACTCAACCTACAGCTACCCAAGAAAAGGGTGAGTAGGAAGCATCTTCCAATCCATTCCCTGCCACAAGACTTGAAGTACCTCCACTCTGTAACTGAAAGATAGGCAGCCCCATCATGGGATATCTGATCATGTCACCAAGACTGTGTTTCATTTATAACTGCAATAGTGATGTCGTACCGTCATCACTGCAACTGAAAACACAGAATTCCTCATGCAGATGCCTACAGTACAGTCACATGAAGGAGAAGGCTCTGAAATTAATCACCCTGATACTTGCATGAAAAACACCAGCCACCAACCCACAGACAAGGAGCCGGGTATTGAGTCCTGTGAAATCACAAGGTTTCCATACAATGGAATCTCCCTTTTGCTTATTAGTGTTTAAAAACTTAAGTTAAAAGACGGCTGCAAGTTTTATAATTTTACCTTTCTGTGCCCAAAACCCAAAAGCAGTCCTTACATCACCATATACTATTTCTTCCTAAGAAAGGGTCTGCCCTTCAGCAGCACAAGTAATTGCAACTCACACCCCGATAAATGACGTTGCAAACAGACCGCGTGTAGGTCCCTGGCTTATTTACAAAGGAAGCAGGAAGACAGATGGAAAGTGACGCCTCCTGGAAAAAGTCTCTGGATAAGGCCAACTAGAAGAAATACTGGTATGAGCCAGGTCCATTGGGTTTGACTGGCACACAAGCAAAAGCAATCAACTGTAGGTTACATTCTGTGCAAAACACTTCGCATTTTTATGGCACTTGACTTGTAAGAGTTCATGAAAAAACTTCAAAAGCATCCCAAACCTTTGAATACTTGAGAAACTGGGGCCAAAACTAATGTTGACGTGTTAGACTAACGTCACAGGTTGAGAAAGCAAACTCAGACAAGCTTGTGAAGCATTCAAGCAACACACAATGTACCAGAGCACTACCCACAGGGACACTGAGATTGTATTTCTTAGAAGATACGAATGCTTGCAGAAACTTTTATAATACGTGACTGCACAAGAAATGAAGATTAAAAACTACTGAACAGATTGTTTTTGTAAGGACAGTCCATTCTGAGTAAGGCAGGATCCCGAGAGACAGAATTACATACTCATGTAAATTTAGAGACCATTACACATACAAACAGAAGACAAGTTAAAGCTGCAAAGGCAACTTCAACTTTGACCTCACAATCTCCTTTTCAGGATACCATTCCTCCATCTCTGCACTAAGAAGGAAACCTCCAACCTCCCGCCTGGAGCCTCACATCCACCTCCACCTTCAGTAACATTTTCAGTTATATTACATCACACGCATGCACACACATTGCATAATATTGCTACAGTGTATGCTGTATAAATCATGTTAATACACTCCACTTTGTTTCAAAGTAATTCCTCTGAATTTACACTTCGCTTATACAGTACACACAGTACCACATTCAGAGATATGCAGCAAGTGGCTAAGATAGAAAAAAGTCTCACATATCCAAAAGCAAGTAGGTCACTCGACTATTCATACTGTTTGAAGCAGTTAAAGCATCCAACTGTATAACACAGAGTATTTTATTTATTAACAGTTGCTATAAAAACATCAACAGCTCCTCAGCTCTTGTGTTCTTTCTACATTACGAAGTTGCCAATCACGATGCCATAATTAACTTCCACGTTACCATACAGCTCTGTAATGTCTCCTACAAGCTTGATGTGGTAAGACTTTTTAAATAGCAACCTCTCTGTCACAGGGGTTTACCTTTTGCTTTGGACATCAAGAGTGATAACTCACTTCAGACATGATAGCCAGACAGGAAAGGTTGGGGTAGGTTTATTTTAGCAATGAACCAGCCATGCTGCTTTCTTCCTCGACAATGGTTTTATCATGAAAGTTCAATGCACTGGTTGCAAAGTCTTTCCCAGATAATCCATCTTTGGCACATTTTTCAGTTGTATGCATCCTCTAAAGGCATTCAAAGATTTTTGATGGTCTGTACATTATAACAATGACTTCTTTTTTACATTTGTATGTAGATCAGGAAGAAAAGTGGAAAATGTAGAGTATGCAGAATAGTTTTAATAAACAGTTTTACATACAGTACCTTACATATAGAACAGTGTGTTTGCAAATTTAAATAATTTTTGAATGTACAGTGGCTTGTACTCTTATCAAAAGGTAAATTCAAGTTTCCTGTCTATCGGTTCTAAAATGCATTTATACAGATAACTAGAACTGATAAACAGATGTGAGGCATAAAATGTTCAAGTATCTTAACATCATCAGTTAAATAGCCTCCTTTTAACAGTCATATTTTACAAATTTCAAAACCTGTACATACATTATTTTCAATTTTAGAAACTGCTTGTTAAAAGGTAACATTTCATGTTAACCACCAGTTCTTATAGTCTATTGTAACAAAACTAGTCATGTGCAGATATAAATGTATATAGTATGTATATATGTACATGTGTATACACATATACATACACATACAAATATGTATGTGGCGCTGGGTACAGCGCCAATAGAAGCACAGGGCAAGTCCTGGGCTCAAAATCCAGCAAGAGCTAACAGAGCAAGGAGGTCGCCTTTCGTTTTGTGATGTTTCATTCACTGAAGCTGAAAGAACTTTTTTCAATAAAAATCATCTTGAATAATCTATCTTGTGGTATTCATTCTAGTGGTTTTGTATATTCACAGCCACAGACGGTTTTGCTGCTCTTGTCATTCCTCATCTCCCAGCTCTGGATGGTAAAGTTTCAGAGGGCCAACACCAGGACAGAGCTACCCAGGACAAAAACTGTACCTTAATATCTGAATACTGCAATAGAACATAAAAAAATATAAACTAGATACAATTTTGGATGGATTGCTGGCACCGAGTAGGACTTTGGAAAAAAACCTTCATGTAAGTCATAATCAAACTCTCATCCCAGTGTTTTTTAATATTTGGCACATCTGAACACTATTTGCCACTTATGTTTTAAAGGAGCCTAAGAGTGCTGTAATAAGGATTTCTATTTAAAAAAATACTTTAAAAAGGACACCATGATAAGTAATTTCTTTCAAAAATCAAAGCTAGTATGTTCATTTTCCTGAACGTTCATGAAAGAAGGAAATAATCTAAACTCTTTCCTTGTAGAGAGGATACAGATCTCTCTGTGTCTATCTTCCACTAGCAAGACGAGGAATTAATCAAAAAAGCAGTTCCCAAGAATTTTTAGTCAGGTGAATTCTGCCAATTTAGGATTTTTTGCCAAAGGTTTCAAAATAGTAGACTGTTCTTCAGAGTTTTTGTTTGTTCAGCTTTTATGTGGGGACTTTCTTGTTTATCGTGGTAAAATCATATCAACATTTTGCAGTATGCAAGACATCACATTTTGAAGCTTGGAAACTGAATATTCAGGTTTTCAGTACAAACACATTCCTTACTCTAGATCGCCTCTCCTCTCTCTAAAGCTTCAGGCTATTAATGCAATCAGCAAAGAACCAGATATATGCTCAGCTTTTTGCTGTCTTCCTGTCAGTCTTGCGGCTAGTAAGAAAATTCACTGTAAATAACCTATTTTTCTTCCTTTATTCTTCCTTTTGTCATACAGAGCAAAGCGTAGCTATTTGCTGTACTTTTCCCATGTCAATTAAGAGCTGTTTGATACGTCGCTTGAGCTGAGGCAATCTTGCCAGAGGATCTGGTGGTTCCAATTCTCCAGTGAAGTCAAGCCAACTTTCTAGCACTACAGAAGGAAAAGGAAGAAGTTGATTAGAGTAAGTCTTCAAGAAACAGTTTTCACAAAAAATTAAAAACTTTTCTTTTTTTTGCTCTGTCTTTTGTAAGATTTTTATTTAACAGAAGAATTTTTTATTAGGGAAACACCAACTAATTCCAGGTTTGTACTGTTCAAGTGAAACATATCTTCTGATTTGATTTTTACTATAACAAGGTACCAAGGAGCAAATTATTTCCTTGGCTAACAATTTACCATCTACACACAAAAGAAACCTGAGTTCAAAACCTTCTAGCGATGACAGTTCTGCAACAGAAAATGCAATCCTGAAATGCAAGGCTTGCTTCTGCCACTGCAATCTGGGCCATTTACAAGGTCCAGATTACAGACTGGTTTTCCAATCTTTAACAAATGTTTTTCAAGGATTTTTCTATGTTTGTATTGACAGAGAAGGGAAAAGGTCGATCCTGTTAGCCTAGAAATATTGAAAGTAAAACTGCAAATAGGAACACATCAACTTTATTTGCCAAAAGACAATTAAGGACTCCTATGACTGGACTACAAGTTTCCCTCATTCTTAACTTCTATGACTAGCAAGTAAACTTATGTGCTTTAATATCTACTCCTACACTATTATCTCACTCAGCTTTTCTCAAGAAGCCTGATTTCTCTTCCTGAAACCAGTTATTTCCTAATATATAGCAAACCAAAGCTGAAGACAGAATTAACACATCTTTTTTTCTTAAATATTGTCAAATACTTGAATAATTAGGTAAAAAAATTCCAGACATAGAAAAATCCATAAACTTCATGATCCATATCTGAACAAAGACCTGACAAGTTATCTAAGCTTTCTGAAGTCTGCCTTGTATCACAAACCAGAGTTATATTTTCAAGGGTCCTGACTGCTTAGCTACTTCATTGGGCATTCAAGACTTGTAGAAGAGGATGGGTGGGATCAAGAGCACAAGCTCTGGTTATAATTATGGGTACCTAAATTTGGATATAATATTTTAAAATCCATCCTCAGTGATTCAGATCATCTTCAACCCAGTGACTATGGAAATGCAGTGACAGGTGTATTATCAAGTATCTGGCAATGCAGTTACCATCAACTTCTTTTTCAATCAGGTCCATCCTGCTGGTGACTTCGTTTTGTACATTCTCTATATGAGTAAGGAGATTTAGCTGCCATTGAAGATGTGTGTCCACTTGTTCTTCGGAGCCTCTTCTTTCGTTACAAACAAACACAGTGTTTCCTTCAGCAGAATTCTTCTTCATAGGAGCAACAGAAAGAAAAAAAAAATTGCCATTTAAAAGGGTATTTTTTTGTTTTGTTTTGGTTTTAAACTTGTGGTGTTGATTTCAACACTTGAGCCACATGATAAACTATGCTGGTTTAGAACTGTACTTGTCTGCTTGACAAGAAGCGTACTCAAAAAGCCGTGTACCATGACACATTAACAGACTAAAACAGACAAAATGCAAATTCCATACAAATGAGTAAGTATAACACTGGGGGAGCGAGACAAGAGGTAAAGTTTACCAGCTCAAGCACTTCAACGCAGTAAGAGACAGGATTTCTGGACCTTTATTGTACAAATTGTGACTTAAATCACACAGTGCTGAACTGCATTGGTCTACCATCACCAGCACTAAGGTCTGTTTCAACTTCAGACAGAGAATGAGGAAAAACTCCCTAAAATGCAGTAATGTCAAGTCATTATTTTGCACAAATAAGCCAGCCATTCTATTTGTTGATTAAGACAAGAGATTTCTCTTCGTACCTTTGCTGTGGTCCCATGTAACTTGCAAGCACAAGTCTGGGATTGAATTGAACGTGTTTGGGGATAGTTACAAGGGCAGTAAAATGCAGATTTATGCAAACAAAGTATCTGAGGAAGACTGACTCTTTTAAAATAATTGGTATCTTCATAGCAAGTCAGAGATAATACACAAGTTCCTCATCTTTCTGTATTTGATGTTTCAGCTAATGGAAATGACCAAACGAAGTATGCTGAATTTAGTGAATTAAAACATTCAGCATCTCCATTAATTAGCAGGATTCAGTTTCCATTTTATATCCACATTGATTTACTTCGTAACTGATCAAGTTATTTTAGGGACTACAATGCTGGATACCTGTGCTCACTCAGTGTCAGTTCATGGCAAGTGCCAGAGCAAGGAGTAAATTTTATTTTATTAATACAATCCTCTGATGAAGTGCTCGGATATTTTTTTAATGCCATATAATAACAGACTTAACAGCTTTTTTTTTTTTTTTGAAGTATTTCTTTCTCCAGTCAAAAGTAGGTAGAGTGAGAAGACAGGGGAAGAAGAAAATAGGGATTGATAAGTTTTAAGTTACTACTTAAGCAAAAAAAGCAACTTTCTTTTCAAGACTTAAAATCAATTAAAAAAAAAAGTCCAACTTGGACTGACCTGCTGGCAGCTTTGAGTCCTGGAGGACAGGTACTGATAATGTAACATTCACTAAGGCAGTTGAAGTTATTTACCAAACAGATTTTTAAAAAGTCAGAAAAGCCTCTCAACTCTCAAACCTTTCAGAAAAATCTTTCATTACTCAAGACATCCGGTTTGCCTCCACAGTGTTTTCACTATTCAAACTGTTACTAACCTTTATAGAGGATATTTCCAACATAAATAAGAAATGTCTTATTTCTTACAATTTTCAGACTTGTCTCTAAAGCCACAAGAGAAGAATGTCATTTTTCACTTGCTGTATGAGGACCCAAGTCCACAATTCTAAAGCCAAGATCATCTGTTAGATGAATCTTTTAGATGCCTGCTTCAGTAAGTTAGAGAATATCTTAAAGCTAAATAACTTAACATAGAAATAACATCATAAAAGATTTTTTTTTCCTTTTAATGACTTCTGTATTCAAATGGCTGGTAAATGCTCCTTGAAAAGAAAACCCAAAACATCCCACAAGATCAAACAGGTCCTATTCCAAGCTGAGAGATCAATGCAGGCACTCAGGCATTGGTGGCAGGGGTAGTAAGAGAGAAGCAGAGCACAGGATCCAGCTTGTGAAGAATTAAATGGGAGGTTCAGGTGGAGAAGGCTCATGCTTTCAGAAGCAAAACCAAGGAAACTAAATACAATTTTAAAGATTAAGCATAGTTCAAAAAAGGACTTGATAACAATCAGAATACCGTTTATAAGAGAAAAGAAGATACATGACAGAACTGTAGAGCAGGATAACACAAAACAGTATGGAAAACCAGAATATTCCAGGCTCTGTGGGATTGTAGAAGGGAAAATCCAAAGCCCGAGCCAAAACTTTGACAAGGAGAGGTGAAGGAGGTACTTTACTGAGAAGTCAGTTCATGTAGAAATGGCACTTTGATGTCGGCGTCACCACAGCTTTAAGATACACACAAAGTCACAGAGAAACCAAGGAGAGCTTGCTTTTTTCTTTTTTGAGCAGCCTGGTCCGGTGGGAGGTGACAAATCGGATGATCTTTAGGTTCCTTCCAACCCAAACCATTCTGTGATTCAATGCACAGTAACTCTAGACAGAAAGCCTTATTTCAGATAAAGGCTGACTACTGACAAGGTGAACTAAGGTGCACCAAAGCAAAGAGTACTCTGACACTGCCTCAAACAGATCTCTCTTCCTGGATTGAAACAGAGAGCACCTAGCTTTTTGGTTATATATGGTTTAGCCTCTGAGGGATTTTGTTTCACTGCTAATATATATTTTCTTTACTTCTAATTATATTTATACTATTTACAATGACAATTTAAGGCTACTGTTGGAAGTAAAGTGTATCTCAGACTGCTGTGCATCTCCTTACTACTCAGTATAATCATGCAATTTGGCATACAAACAGTTATTTCTAACTAGAATGAGTCAAAATTTTGCATTCAGACTTATATAGCTTACGTCATATTTTAAACTAAAATTAAAAGATAAAAGACGTATCTTACTCATTTCTTCCACACCAGAAACTGTACTTCAAAAGGGGGATGAGTTGGGCGATTTATTCTCACACAGTTGGCATTGCAGAAAACAGAAAGGTTTGGTTTACTTTGTTTTTTTTGCTCAAAGAGAACTCTTCACTAAAACCAGACTAACAAGTTTCAGACCTTTTCCACGAAGTAATGGATTCAAACCATTAATACAAAAATGAGAAAGAGATGTTTAAATAGCCAAATACAATTCTGACTAACAACCTGTGAAACAGTTCATTAGAAGAAATATGCAGTATAAGAGACTCAAAAGAAGTTGCACACAAGGTGAGATTAGTTGGTCAGCAAATCATTACTTGTGGACAGAATCCTAGATAGTGCTGCTGTTAAAAGAAGAATACAGTATAATAATCAACTCTATTGCAAATATCAGTTTAACAAACAACAAAACACCCACACAGAAAACAGAATTGAGAGAGAAAAGGAAACTTCACCCATTTTCCTCACCTCACAAAATCCACCTAGGTTCTATTTTGAGACCCTGCATTTTAAGCATAAATGTTTTTCCCCCAAAACACTGGATTGACCATGAACAGTTTTAGCACAGGCAATTCCGTAACCATACTTTGCACTTCATTCCCCAGCTGAAATGGGTGCATTTCACCTGAAACTATTTCAGTGACCCAACTTTGCTTCTAGTGATTTCTGCTGACTTATTTGACAGAATATGTTGAGTTATAACAACGAATATTTCTAAATACTGAAATGCACTTGAGATTTATCAGATTGAACATATTTTTCCAACTAAGAAACTTCCCAGATGAAGAATGATACTTACCTGCTCATTCATGCCATCATCTCTAAAAGAATATTGTAAACAGTTTTTACTTTCTGTGTGAAATTCCTGATCTTCCTCAAAACTACTCGTATCTTCATCATCTGAGCTCATAGGGTCTGTGACTGCTTTGCAGTCTGGACCAAAACTCTGTGGTTTTTGGTAACTGTGCTCACTTGTGATGTACGTTTCTTCCATCTTCTGGGGTACACTGGGTGGCACTCTATGGTTATGACTGTGACACGTCCTTTCAGATGGATTCACAGCATCCGGCAAAGTCACTAATCTTTTCTCTACCCCAACAGTTATTTGTTCTTGTTCTTTTCGCATCCCTGAATAAGCCCAGAGATGAAGGTCTGGATGATGCTTATTTCTGGAAACGAAAGGGAGGAAAAAAAGCAAGTTATAGAGAATACCACTTACAGCACTGACCTATTAAGCATCCCCTTCTGCTAGATCACAGCTACTGATAAGCACCATTATCAAACATGTAAGTAATCCTAGGTCATTTATCAATTTAGGATAAATCCAGAATGTCCTCTGAACACAAAAACTGACTAAAAAAATCACCAATAAACCCAATATACCAGATCCACTCAGGTGCTAACTCCTAACTCCCTCTGAAGCTGAGGGTACTCTACACCTTGCACTTAAATAGTTAAATTACTATACAAGAAAGAGCTTTAATGTGAAAGAGTAATGCATATGGAATAATGGTAGCCTGTGCTACCTCTATACATATAACAATGGAGAATAAACCCTGGACTGATACTTACTTCAGTATCCCAATCTTCAGCTGCAGTCCGTGCAGTATTTCAGTTACACCATATACATCTGCCAGTAGGTGATGCGTTGACACAATCTTTTTGGAATTAAGATGAGAGTAGTTCTCTTTCAAAAATGATAATCCACACATGTGTCCATTGTTTAGCCAGTCTTTGTCATAAAGATATTTGGCACTCCACCTCTGACCTGGGGTAAGCAATGAACAAATTGAGGGCCATCTAAAGGCACAGCAGAATTGTATTTAAAACTAGAGTGCTATAACTATATGCTGTACTCTCCTAAATGTCTCCTAACATCCATGAACGAATTATTCAAGATCTTGCTATTAATATATTAAAATTGAGTTTTCGTGGATTAAGAGGACATTCTTTAACACTTATGAAAACAAAACTAAACTTGAAATCTCAAAACCTCTCTAAATGGCATTTGAAATGAAAACCTAATCACTTTTGGAATCAAAGTACAGGATACCAAGAACTAATGAGGAATTGAACCAATCTAATGAGGAAAAAAAAGGTTTAAATCAGCATTTTATTAACTAATGCAGATTATTTAAAAAAAGGAAAACTTTTTACATGGACATATCCAAAACACCTATTTGTTTCTGAAAGACAAATATTTTACTTCAAATACTGAAGTCAACATCCATTTATTAGAAGCCAGGAGAAGGGTTCACAAAAAGCAGACATCTCCAAGTTATCTGACAGGAGAGTTCTTACGCTCTGCCTTGAGGTGCCTTTTACCAGACACTACTAGACAGGATACTGATGCAAGCACGCCTTTGCTTTCCCATGCTACGGCAACATCTGCAGTCTTAACCCAACAGGCATGAATAAGTATTCCGCTAATGCTTCTGTAGTAACTCAGTAACTGCTTAAAAAAAAGAAAGACAACAAAAAAACCCCCAGAAAAACAAAACTAGAAATGGATAACACTAATTATTCCAATATTACTGTTTACAACAAGGAACCCAGACAAACAGACTGACTAAGACCGCAATAGCTTACACTCAAGACCATATCAGACTATCATCATATACAGAACAAAAAAAATGGGTTGATGGAAGCCCTTCATACCTTTCAGGAGAATACCCTGTCTATCTCCTTTCTGCCCATTATCCCAATACACTTTAAAATACTGACATTGTGAATGACCTTTTTCTCCTGACATAGAAAGAAAAGAAGTAATGGTTAGGAAAGGAGAGAAGATAAAAATTAGGGACACAGTCTCTGCATAGCAGGGAAGAATGAAGTACCTAGTACAGTGCAGGGAAAGAACACAAGACAAATTAGTTGGTTTTAAAAAGAAAAAGCTTGACTGCTCAAAGAGTACACCACACAGAACTATCAGACAAGACTCTACACCATCAATTTAGATTCAGATCGGGGCAAATGGAAAAAAGTCGTATCTGTCCAGCTCTGTTTTCCCAAAGTTTCTTCTCAAAAATAGCTAATAAAACTGTGCTGTGTTATAACTCTACAAAGTTTTCGCATTTTGTTTCTCATATTCAGACTGAAAGTAAATTTCAGGGTGTAGTCTCACTGCCCTTTTGAAACAGCTGGACAGTCGGATATTTCACCAGAAGACATGTATGTGCGTTTGCATCACTTGTCAGGAAAAATACGAAAACCTTTCTTCCAAGTTGTGTAGTTTTTCTCCAAATAACTGCTAAGAAAAACGGGTTTATGGATAGAATCATTTTAAAATCAACATCTTTCTAACCAAATGTATTCAGTTTAAAAGTAAATATATTTTTCCTAATTCTTACCATTTAAAACTTAATTTTAAAATTTAAGTTCAAGATGTGCTGTTTGGGCACTATCATTTACCATAAAAAGTGCTAGATTTTTTCATATTTTACATATTCAATTCCACACCTTTACTTGCACAATTCTGGACAAACACAAATATTATAAAATTGCACTTAATACGAAATGACATCCACAGCATATTTGAGTGGACTGTGGTAACGAGTCCCTTTTCTCTAACAAAATTGTTAAATGAACGGCTGTGATTCCAAGGCAAAACAGCTCGCTGAACAAGAATGCTTTGTTGAGAAAGACTTTTCAGACCACAACAACATGGAAAAAGCACTAAGGTGTTGGGGGAATTAAGCTTCAACAACTAAAGGATGGTAACTAAGATCACGAATAACATTTAGCATAGCTGAACAAGGTGTTACTAACAGGAAGGTAAGTTTTTGCTCAAAGGTTAGAATCACTTGCCCCAAAGTAGAACACAAAACACACAAAGTTTTCACAATTAAGCAATGCATAACATCTCTGCTTAAAAATCTGAGGCAGACAGCTGCAGATAAAGGTGGTTTACCCGTACCTGGTGGATCTCTGCAGATATAACAGATGTACTGCTCGGGAATGCTGTCCTCTAACAGTCCCATGCACACACTGTGCTGCCAACACAAGCACTCTTCACACTAGCATCAGGAAAAACAAAAACAGGGCAAAAACTAAAACTGAGATAAATTCAAAAGTCAGAAGCTATTTCTTGTATTGTCAAAATGCAGTTTAATTTAAATAGCTGGTTTGAGTAGGATTATTTTAGTTGGGCAATTTGTGTTTGGGTAGGCAAAGACACCAAGCTAAAAAATAGCTCTAGTTCTGCAAGTTACCTCAACCACAAATTCCAGACTGAAAGAAAAAAAAAATAAGTTGCAGATGTCGCATTTAATAATATTTTATTACAACATTCAGTATTTTAGCACCTAAATATTTAGTAGTGAAACATAAGACAGGAGTATAATATTACAGTAAAGTAGAAAGATAATGTAATACATTACAGCATAACAGTGAAAAGTAGAAAACTCTTCAGTTTAATTATATATATTTACAAAGCAACTCTCCAGTGCGCTAGAAAGATGTGTTTTTAATATCGCACCAATGGAAAATCTAAAAGAAAAAGAAAATGAAGAGAAAATGAAAGAGGAGAAACAAGAGAATAGTAGAGCAAAATAGAAGTGGTAAGACATGAGGGTCTAGAAACAGCAAACTGGCTGCTGTCAGCGAGACAAGGCATGAAGAGGAAAAATCAGGCTGTCCTTGACTTTAGAAATGGGCAGGAAGCTACCACTTAAAAATACATTTCCCTTTCTCAAGGTGGCGTTTGCCTTTGTTCTAAATAGCTGCTGTATTATTACTGAAAGTCTCTCCTCTTTGCTTTGACATGCTTTTGAGTATCAGCCTATTCAAAACACTGAAGTCACCCTTCCCCTTGCCATACCACTACGGCTCTAATTTCACATCCTCTCTCCAAAAATTTCTACACCAGTCCATCTTTCCACGTTATTACCACAGCTGAACTCCTGCTTAGCTCCTTCAACACAGCTCTGCCTTTCAGTGTGCTGCCAGGGACAGTCTGTGTGTCCTTCATTTTCAGCTCTTTCTATTATTTCTGAAAGACTTGAAGTCTTTTAGGACAGGACAGCCATACCTGCTTCTTTCAGGTCTCAACTAAAAAGGCTCCATGTTCTCAACAGAATCTGTACCACATTCATAGTTGAATACAAACCTGGTTTTTGAGGGGAGGAACCAAACACAGGAAGTTCATGGCTTTTTTTACAGTTACTGACAACTCAGTTCTTCCTCACTGTTGCTTGTTTCTGATCTAACTGCTATATTATCTTGAGACAAGACTAAGTTATTTGTTACCAGATGGGAATTTCTACTTCTCTGAGTACAAATAAATAAGGAGAAGTTGCAATGCATTAGCACCTGAATGCTGTGCAGACACCACATACTCTTCTTTCCTTTCACATCAAGAAAGATTTAAATTCTTAGCACTAGCTGGTTTTAGAAACTGCTATCTAGTTGGAGAAGTGCTGTTCTGGAGATGAAGCACACCCATCACCGTTACTGACAATATTAACCTCTGTACAGCAGAGATCTTGCACACAGCTGAGGTACATTTATAGTGAGCAGAGTGGTTGCTACAATTGGTACTGCAAAGTACACGGGCCAAACTAGAAGGGCTGGTATAAGTGGGACGATCTGTGAACAGAAGCAATGATTGTGTGCAGAAAATGATACGTTATTCCAAAGTTATCAACTGGCTACAAAAAAAAAAGGTTACCTTTCCTTACAAACCTGTTCTATGCATCAAATCATTAGAGAAACCCCATCCTAAAGTAATAGTTCTGCATACACTCAACAGCGGCATGCCAAGTGCAGAATGTAGAAGCATTCTGTTACTGTTAAATTCTATTTACAGCTCTCTACAGAACTTGGATCTCCATCAAAAGGGCATCTTCACAAGCAAGACATTCACATGGAAAAATATCTCCCTCCCCCTAAATGTCTTTACCTGAATCATGAAGCCATTTTCTTCATCCAGTTCACAAATGCATCTAACAATTTCATTGAGAGCATCATCTTCATCCTGAGACTCTTCAAAATTAGTTGAATCAAAATCCTGATTGTACTCGTCACCACTAAGTAACAAACTCTCCGTAGAGGAATCATCCAAGAACTCCACATCTGAAAGGTCTAGCAAAAATAAATACATGTGAAATTGTGTGTGCAAAGACATAACACTTCACCGAAATACAGGGGATTTTGGTAGTTAGAAATCTCAATCTACATAAAGCGAAAAAATTGCTCTCAAACACAGTGCTGGTATATTTGATTTCTTTATGAATTCTGCAAAATTCCGTTCAAGTGACCTCCTCAGAAGCAGAGTTGCAACACTTAACCAAAGCAAGTAAAATGCAGAACAGCTTGAGGAGTGTAAGCATTTTGATTTAAATGGATGAAGTATAAATCAGTCACCATACTTACAGCTACAATCATAAAAATAAACCAAACTATTTCCCTTAAAGATCTCTTTCTTAAAGAATTAAATCTACAAAGTGAAAGTTGCTGTTGAGCCAACCTACTTTCTCCACTAAGGTCAACAGACAGGATAGCTCGTGGATACTGGTACGATGTATTCTTCTCTGAGAACATGCTCCGCAAAGTCAGAGAGCTCCCCGAGGACCGTGTTAACGGAGAGGAGCACCTGTCCAAGAATTCAACAGAACTATCTTCATAATCTGAATAATCTGAAAAATTAAAAGAAAGTAAGTTGCTGTTATAAAAGTAAAGTGTATTACAAACGCAAAAAAAAAAGGGAAAGAATATTTAAGTATATTGCAACATCATATTCAGAAATAAAGAATATCAACATTGAGGTATTATGATGATGAAGTTGTATATATGAAATGGCAAAAGCTCTTTATAACCTATTTCACAAAAAGAAATTCCAGTAAGAAACATCATAAATTTTAATAGCAAAGACAACCATTACCCATTTAACTCTGCCCCTCCCTCCCATCTCAACATACAGAGGAATAACTTTTCCTAGAACATTATTCAGTCTTTTTTTTCCACAATTCATCCTGCACCTTCTGCCATCCTAAGAGATGCTGCTGGTAGCTCTCTCAGTAGCACTACCAACATTGGTACCTAGAAGTAACTGCAGATGGTCCTGTCAGGTTAAGCAATAAAAAGTGTGTCTGCACACCTGAACAGGGGCACAGGGAGCTCAAATAAAACCCTCCCAGGGCTTCCCCAGCAGTGCCATCACCTCCATTATCCAGGTGTGAAACCCATCAGAGTGTGGTACCCACAGCAGCTCTCTGTATCCCCTTTTGGACTAAGGGGAGGTTGCAGCCCTGAATGGGATGTAGGGGAAAATTATTTTGGGATTGCATAACTTACTATGGATTGCTTAGGGAAGGAACCAAATGTGGAGAAAATGGAGGGACCTAAGTGATTTGGGGAGGAACAAGTGTGGGGAAAATAGAAGAATAAGGGAATAAAAAGGACCAGTTTGCTGGTCAGTACAGTTGTCTGGGTAGCACAATCTGTCTTACTTCTGCTGGCAGAAGTATCTCCCTCCTTGGGGATATTATTAAGCTGTCTGGACACAGTCCTGGGCAATCAGCTCTAGGTGGCCCTGCTTGGGAAGAGGGGGTGGACCAGATGGCCTCCAGAGGTTCCTTCCAACCTTCCCATTACAGAATAGACATTTGTAGCTTTGACCTTTTTTCAAACCTGTTACCTATTAAAACAGTTCTGCTCAAAAGATCTTCTTTACAAATACCTTAATCATTATTTTGCTGATTGTTATGCAAGTTCTTTTTCAAACACTTTTACACCAACACTCAAAGGATAGAAGAGCTATAAAACATTTTTCTCACTCTTATCAAGCTGCATTGAGAGCACTACTGGGGATATTACTGGTGATGGTGCGCTATTTTTTAACACCTTCCTGAAAATGGAACCTGTGGAGAGTCTTAACTCACTTTGCCATGTTTTAATAATCACAGATGAAGTAGCCAGGACTGCTTAGGGTCTTGGAGCTTTTGTTCTTTCTTTGGCTCTTGCATACCTAACATTAACCAGTATTTTCTTGCAAATACTTAGATGCCTTCCTAAAGCAAGTAATAAGCTCCAAATAATTTTTAGGTAAAATAAGCAACTGAAGTTTAATCCAATATAAATATGATAAAGTACATGAAACTTAGATTATTGCAGTTCATATTCAAGCTCTGCATGATCTGGGAACACTTTTGTGCTATAGCACAGATGTTGGACAGACAAATCCATAATCACTCTAGAGATCCACAAGGCATCATCATCTGTAGTCAAAAGCTCCTTTTAACGCATAGGCTTTTTCCACACGCTTTTGGTGAAAAAACTTCTAGAAAAGTCTTTGTTTCACAGATTGAAAATTTTCACCTTCCAATATTTTAAGAAATTTTAATCTAAGTTATTACGACTGATACCTAGAAAAGTACACTCTCAAGGTACACAAAAGTAAAGTCAATGTGACAGGCATAGAAAGGACAGTCTATGTTCTCATTTTTAAATTTAAATATTTAAAGATATTCTCATTAAAAAAAACACAGATGAACAAACTAGCATTAAGGTAAGTAGTAGTATTTTAAGTCCTGAAACAGTTTTTGAAGTAAGCAGGCACAGTACACAAGAAAACAAAGTTCAGGTTTTGGCAAGAAGACAAAACAGAACGAGTCTGGATTTGCCCGTGCTGTTATTTTTATTTCCATAATGCTGCAACTAAGACTGCACTGGATGCAAAAAAAGGTAAACCAAGGAACCTGAACATGTGATTTTATGGGAGAGTAAACGAACCGAAGTATGCAGAAAAGGAGAAGAAATACAAATAAACAGTAAAACTATACTCGTCAGCAGGATAGTTATCTTTTCACTAAAAAAAAAACCAACCAAAAACCAACCAAAAAACGACCATTGTTTTTCCACAGAAATGATACCAAGGAGAGTTACAGAAGTGATGATGCTACAACTTTAAACCACATTCTCACAGGAGTATTTCTCAAACAAGGAAAAAAAAACCCACACAGTGGTTTGAAAGGGTTTTTTGTTTCGTTAAAAAAAGCACAAGCTACCTAGAGCCTCATCACTAAAAACCACACTATTTTTGTCACTTCAGGGAATGGAAAGAACAGAGAAAAGAAAAAAAGATGAGTGTGTGATCAAAGAATTTGAATAGGGAAGTGAGGTGAAGACAAATGGAATCACCATTTGCCAAGACAACAAACAAGGTTGTTGCAACAGAGACACCAACCTCGGCTGTTAAGGATTAACTGGTAAGGAAGGGCTGCATTTGATACAGTAAACCACTGAAATTTTGCAACAGACAGATACTACAATAATTTTAATGTCCAAGCAAAATAGGTAGGATGTGTGCACAGAGCTTCAAAAGAAGAATTTGAAGAGATGAGAAGAGCAAGTCTGTCTTTTGAAGGAAGAAAAAATATCTATGAGTTCTCCATGATGGAGAGACAGGCTATAAACACAGCACTGAGGCCACAGACCTAAGTGTTCTTTAAACATTTAAGACCAAAACTTGTTTTTCGTAATTTCTTAAATTTGACATTCATATTGTTTAAAAGCAAGTTTTAATATCTAAAGCCAGAAATACATTGAGTGTTTTTTCTTATTTAAAAAAAAATAAAATGAACTTACCATGCTGTTTAGATTTCTTCTTTTTTTTCTTCTTCTTTTTCTGTTTTGATTTATGATCTTTCTCCTTTTTCTCTTTTTTGTCCTTTTCCTTTTCTTTCTTTTTACCTGAAATAAAAAATAAACATTTTAAAACAGCAGTACCAATCCAAATCCCTTGCTTGATTTGGTTTAACCTAAACATGACATTCAAAATCAAGTCTGCCAGCTGCCTAATCAGATCAAAACGATTCTGTTAATTCACTTGCTGTCTTGGGCATGTCCCTTATTAATTGCTGATAGGATGGTTCAAAGAAATCTCTCTCAATAAACAATATTTTACCATTTTAAGTATTTCTGTATGAGATATCATAGCAGAAGAAGATAAAGCAAAGTACACAAAATAAGCAACATATTTAAATACCTTATAACATCTATTTTATTTGTAGCTTGTAACGAAAAGGTTTGGGCAAGAAATAAAGCTTTCAAATGTGCAAAATTCCAAACTAAAAAGATATCAAATCTTAAAAACCCCTGTTAGGCCTATAGAAAGTAATTTTAAGGAAATTTCACTATCAAAACTGCTGATGCTGTCGGTACTTTCAACTACACAGTGACACCCTCATAGAAAACTGATTCTGACTAAAGTTTATGATACATTTTTCACACTCCTGTTCACTTCTAACCACTATTGGTATACACATGAGGACAAGTACTTTGTCTCAGAAAAGTTCTATCTATCATCTTAATTCTCCCCTGACAAAATACATCCCACAGCACTGTCACTCCATAAGAATTTTCAAAGTAACCATTAGGGAGATAAATAATGAGGAAATTGACTTGTTACAGAACGTAAGTCCTTAAAGTCAGTATTTATGAACTGTTTCCTGCCCACAAATTGGATGCTTATCATCTTCTTGGGGAATACATAAAAAGAACTTTTACTTCCTGGATAAACAAGGCAGAATCACTTAAAAAACCTAAAAATCACCAACTTATTTTTATCAGGCCTCTCACAGGTACTGTTGGATCTTTCCAAATCCTTCCTATTGGCACTTTCATTTTCTCTTACAAATTATTCTTCTACTATAAACTTGTCACATACATAAGAACAGATTTTAAGACCTAAACAAACAAAAGAAGTGCAGCTAGGCCCAGGAAACATTGTACGCTTTTACATTTGCTTTTCAGAGACATCAAGCGCTAGAGAATTTTTTCCCTTTTTCCTAAAAATATTATTGCCCTGTACATACCATATGTTGAAGAACTTTTCTCTTCGAGTTTTCCTTTTCTTTCCATTCTTGCTGCACCTGCAAATTGAAGACCAATTTACGACGTAAGTGCAGTGTCTGGCTGATGACCCAATTTCTCATAAAAGCCATTAGACCGGAAAAAGTCCTAATGGTACATCATAAGAAGAGACATACATACAATAAAATTATCTTTTAACGTCACTTTACGATTATTTTTATTGTCTAAAGCACTGGAAACAAAAAGTATTGTAGTTTACCAACTTCTGAATGCTTGTCCTTCTCAATCACGTTCTTTAATATTTTCTCCTTCAGACTCTCAAAACATTTCTCCTTTACGGGCACAGAGCACTGTGTCTCTGTCCCTTCAGAGCTCACTGATGTGGAAGACCTCTTTTTTTTACTATTCCCTTTGGGTAACTTTAGACTATTGGTTAAAGGCATTTCCAGATGCAAGGCATGTACATGGGACGAGGGCGCTGAAAACAAGAAGACACATTTACTAGGCATTCCACACAGATTGCAGTCAGACCACTGGCTGGGTCAGATCACTCAGATGTCAAATATTGGTAATAATATCATCACACTTAACATACAAATACTGCCTATGAAATAGGCAAATACTGCATATGAATGCCTGGGACTTGGCCTTACATCCAAGGCAATACGTGCCACAGAAGGTTTGTTTTGGAATTTGCACTCATTTTAAACTACTTGCACTGTTCAAAGTGTACTTCTGCTGCTACTTTTAAGCCCTTTTGTTTCCTTTTTATTTCACTGTAATGAAAACCCACCTCAACAGTAAGGGTTAAACGTGCTGCCATTTTCAGTATCATTTAAGTTCATGTTCCTTTATCTGAACAAAAAAATCTAAGCTCTGGTACAACACTTTTAGTGCTATGTATAAAATTTACACTTCTGCTTATTGCACTTTTAATTGATTTTAATAATACTTAAAACATACAGTGTCTTTCACGTGTATATTTAACCCACATTTGAATTACTTGCAAAATATTGAGAATTTGTCAGAATTCATCACCATATACTGACAATTCTTATCTGCACTATTCAGAAAAGTTTATTCAGCGAAATATTTAGGTGGTTTTTAATCTTTATCTGATCTAAATTAGGAAATAACATGGCAAAAAAACCTTCAAATTCTAATTTTCATTGCTCATATTTATAATCAAACTAGAATTGAAGTTAAACAACATTACTGAGGTCATTCAAAACCCTATTACTGTGTTCATCGATACTGTGAGAGCTTTAAGTTTCATTTAAATGTGATTAGGAAAGTCTTACTCAAACCATTGAGGACATTTCAGGACCAGGCTGAGGACATAGTTACAAAAATGCAGCTCTGCAAAGTCATAAGGGCATCAGGCTTTTCATTGCAAGCTGTAAACACTTGGAGGTATCAGTCACCTATGGAGTCTCTCAACAAAAGTATCAGCATCTGATGCTTCAGTGACATAGCATTTAAAAAAGCATTTAAAGAAGCAGTGTCAAAATAATTTAGTAAATTCATCAGTCATAAAAGGATTCTGGGAAAAGGCAACAACGTCTCAGGGCTGACTCTGTAAGGCAGCCTTCCAAGCTTGGACAGCCCAACCCAATTCTACCACAACACAACACACACATTACACAAAACTTACTCCAGCTCCTAAGCAGCCAGAAGCAGCTGCTCAGTTGAGTGTGTTGGCTTCTAACACAAGACAACTGCACAACCACAGCTGAGGCCATCTGAGCCTTTTCACTACCTCAAATCAACCATCTCGATCCTGCCTCTACCTGTATTTCAAGTAAACTAGGCTTGCTGGAACACTTATCGACACAAAACACTATCCAAATTATTCCTTTCTTGGGTTTCCTAATTAACGTTTGTCTGTTACAGGACTGAACTGCATTGCCATCTGTGGAGCACTGAGTATATTTTAGCACCTCGGTAAAACAAAAAAAGTGACACTTCTCCACATCATCATGCTATCAACGTCTTGTCTCGTTTCTACAAAGGGCACAAAAGGATCACCCAAATGCACATGATTTGGTTAGGTCGCTGCCACTTTGATGAAAAGATGTAAGAATACTCCACATCCAAACAGCCTGAAGAGAAATTTAGTCTCAGTATTAGGTGAATTAGTATTGAAACTTGATTATTCAGAAGAAAACCTGACTTCAGAGATTCAAACGTGCTCTGGTATTGATAGCTACAACACAACAAACTTCGGCATTTCAATTTTCAACACAAGTACATCTGACAAATTAGTCAGCTAGTTAATTAATAACTGTTTGAGGGAACATTTATGATGGGCAGAAATCTGCTGCAGTCACATGAATGTCCATCTCAATGGCAGACCTCTCCAGACTGACTTTCTATAGTAACCTGAAAAGAGAAATTACTATTATGCCTGCATATGCTTCAATGTTATTCTTGGCTTTTATTTTTGTTAATCAGGAATCATTCTAGATTGAGAATCCTAAATTGTCAAAACTTAAAGTGTTAAGGCTTGTAAAGTCTAATTATCCACCGTGCAATCACTATGCCTTACAAGTAACCATAAAATTAGACAAAGCAGACAATCACAGTCTGAAGGGCAAGTAACAAATACAGCAAGAAATATTAGTTTATAAGAAATATCCTTTAAGGAAATATTACTGTATACTTTTTAACTGTTACTTTTAATTGCAATTTTATTCATGCTGAGGAGTCTCGCCAGCCACCTCCCACACAGTGAAGCATGGGAGGTCTGCAATTAACACTCAGCAGAGAGAAAGATCCTTAGAGATTAGACTTGATAAACTACTGATTATGTCACTGTTCCAAGATCAATTTGATCACCAGAAGACTGATTTGAGATTAAAAATACACGCAAAGCACAGCAATTTTCAGTCTGCTTTGTGATACGTTTCCATTGCTGCCTCTCCTGGTCTGGCAGAGTGAAGTGACACAAGCCCAGCCCGTGTGAGCACAGCCCCAGAACGGGATGAACAAGCGCAGCAGCACAGAAGGGCTTTTAGTGCTGCTTATTTCAATGCAGCAAATTAAATAAATTTTAGCAACGCGAAGTGACTTATTTTGTGGCATGATATTCCATTCCACAGCTTTCAATGTTTCACTTTTCCTAATAACAGAAATGTCATCATCTGTGTTAATATACAACTTAAATCATAACCTGACCAGCATGATTCATGGTTCTATCAGCATTAATTTTGAGTTTTGAATTTCCAGGGCCTATGATAAATTTTATCTCTAAATCCACTTTAAATACATATTAAAGATTAATATCAGATCCTGCACAAAACGATCCCTTTAGGAAGGATGAGGACATGAAAGGATTTTACTTGCCTTCAGCCACCTACTCCAGGAATCAGCTGGGAACCTCAGGGCAGAGATTAGAAGTGCAAACATTCAAATTAGGGAGCAGCCTGACTGCCAACAGACGCTTGGAGTAAAACAACTCCCAAGTGACAACAACTTTAGCTCACTAGAGTCCAAATACCTCTTAAAAGCAGGGTAACCAACAACACTGGCAGGAGTTTTTTAAAAAACAACTGATCTAGTTTTCTGAAAATGTGGTACATCAGCCATTTCTCATTCCTTCTGCAGTGAACTGTTATCAATACAATTATGTAAAAGTATACAATGTTCTTTTCTTTTAGCAAAGTGCAAATTTTTCCCATACAGTTAACCTAATGTTACCCTACCAGCAAAATCATCTAGGCTGAGCTACAACAGGAAATAACAGCTAATGATAACATTGTTATATTATTATTATAAATGTGCTATTAATAGTTATATTAGAAAATCATAGAATCAAATGTAACAAGGATTCTTAGTTATGTGTGTACGATATCAAGGGATCACAAGTAGGGCCATACGCCAGTTTCAGCAAAGCAGCACCTCTGCTCAGTAATTAACTGGTAGTGTACCAATGCAATATATTAAATTACACTTGGGCAGGCAGCTGTTCCTACATAATCTGAATTCACTGTGCTCAGTGATTTCAAGCTTCAATAGGAATGAGAAAGGAGAGCTCTGACCACCGCTCCTTTATATATTAGTCTGCCATTATTAAAACAGGCTCATTAGAAAAGGAAAAGCAGTGACAAATAGAGTGGATTCTATTCATTTTCCTGAAACTCACAAGAATTTGGTGTCATTATGTCTGCTTAAGTAACACGACTTGAGAAACTATGCTATTTCAAAAGTAAAATGATGTCATCTAAAGCAGAGAACACAATAAAAACTATTCAACAGTGTAAAGTAACTCCAGAGGTTTCAAACCTGAACTTGAAAGCTACATTTTTCTCTGAGGAGACAATTTTTGACGGAGTTCAAAGCCTGAGATGAACCCAAAACCCAAACTGAAGTTACAGAGCCCTAGAGATACTACTGACATAGGCAAGGAGCTCCAAAACTTACTATGAAATACCAGAATTAAAGTTTAGCTTAGATTAGTCTTTCAGCCCACAAAGCTCAAGCAGTTGCTGGGCTGCTTAATTCTGAACACTTCTACCGTTCGGACAAAAAGCCAGTGTGAAAGCTCAAGACAGTTCTGCTGATTGTGTGGAGGACAACTGTAACATGTGAAAATTAGGAACCATAACATCGGTGTGCCCAGAAGGCAAAAACCCAGAAGAAAAAAAACATAGCTGCTACATCAGTTCATTAAAAGCTTGTAACTCTTACAAATATGTAGGTTGAAAAAAGCTTTACATACAGTATAAACTGTATCCTCCAGCACAGGTTACAAGTGCTTCCACTTTCCCATTCTGGACTCATGTAGTAACACCCGGTAATTTTGTCGGGAAATTACTTTCCCTGATACAAAGTGTGTGCAAATGTCAAATATTTGAGTCCTAAATAAAGGTGGCTATAACTGAAATACATTATTTCTGTAACTGGACTCAGCTGTGGCCAAAGGCCAAGACTCAGCTCAACAAATGAACAGGTACAAGGGTACTTGTGGATGCTGGGTTTGGAACCAGCTCACTCAAACCCCAAACCAGTCCCATGACGGAAGCAGGCAACAAAATAAATACCCGTCAGCATTATCGACTACACACTAAGTGATCCAGAAAACATATCAGAAAAGCCAGAAGTTAAATTCCTAGTAAGCGAAGAGAGTTCTAATAAATAAGAAACAGATGGCAGGTGAAAGCTGTTGGTTTTTTTTACGATCTTGTTCTCTGTGTGGGCAACTACACTCCCAAATGCATTTCTCTTGGTGGCAGAAGACATGAGATAAAAGGACTTTTACAGAAGTAATTTTCCCAGGAATCTGTGATTCTACTGCTATGCAATGTATCAAAGGTAAATGAAGACTGTCAGATGGTTTCACTTGAGAAATTAAGTAATATTTCTAAAAGCTTAAGTGTCAGCTCATTAGAAATTCCCATTGCCCTTATTTTGTCAAATTAGAGATGTTTTTGTGTTTTGAGAAAGGATAAAGACAATAGTCTATTTTAATTTAAGCAATTTTGATCCAAGAATCCTACCCAGCTTTTGCTAAGTCAGATTAAATAGCAATGCTACAACTCGATGAAGTGATTACCTTGCACTGTCAGCGGGAACACGTGTGGGCAGACACCCTAGAAGGGGCTGTACACACTAAACAAAACGCTTCATTGCCCTGTTGAGCACTGCTCCTATACTATCAGCTTATGCAAAGTTGTTACTTTTTTTCCTTCCCACTAAACAAGACTAAGTTGCAGTTTGAGTGTCATAATTACCTACTTTAAGGTCGTGTTGTCCTCCCTTACTACTGATGTCCCTTACTAAGAACTTCCCCAGCAGTGTACAATAATTTGATTTTTTTTCCACCTCTTACTTTATTGAATAATTTTCTCATTCAACAACACAAAAGGCAATGAAACTTCAACAAAAAAAAGAAGGCTTGTGAGAGAATTACTTCTTTGAAGCCAATTAAAAATGGTATGATACCCACCCACATAAGAGACTAATTTATGAAAAAAGCATATGGACACCTAACATACACTGGATGAAAACCACCCACTTTCAGGGTCTGCAACCACTATGTAAATCCTTCCCTAAAACCCTTAATTGGCTCCATCAAAGTGATTCATTTAAATCACAGTAGCCAGTAAACTGTTACAAAATGAGAGGCAGCACAGAGCTCCAGTACAGGGCTCCATGTTAACTGTGAGGATGAACCAAGTCTATGTAAGTTATAGAGGTTTTTTCAGAAATATTTTCAAGTAATCTTTCACTGCAAGCAAATGACAAAATTTCCACTGCAAGCAGAAGGTAGAAGAATGTTGACTGCCTCTGAACATGCTGCTATGTTTAAAAGCCAAAGCCACAAGATAAATAAGTACATCTAAGCTTAGTATATATTAGTATGTTAGTAAACAACCTCATTAGTTACAAGTTTTAACAACATAAAATATTTTTTAAATACTGGGTTTTTTTTATATTCCACGCTCTCAAATCTTCCTTAAAGTGTGTTAGAAAAAGTGCTAATGCAGCTCGAAGCCAGTGGAAGATGAAGAATATGCAGATGGATGGACACCAGAAAGAGTGGTACATTTGTGAGTGTGCAGAAAGGAAAAATAAGAAGGATCCCCTCTTTTTGTGTGACTGAATACATAGCACGTTTTAACCCTACAACTATAAACCTAACTGGTTGTATACTGAATCTCTTTACCTGACGCTGTTGTAGCTACTCTTCCATCAGTTACTGCTTTGGAAGAAAGATATGTAATCATCTGAATATCTTCCTTGTCTTTACTGGGATATTCATTACGGAAAGTGGATTCAGCGGATAATAGTGCTGTAACTTCCGAACTACGGCTTAAATCAAGAGGGAGACACGGTCCACGCTTCTCAAGTGACATATGAGCAACATCAGGTACTACATAAAAGAAAAAATGTAATATTAAAAAAGATGCATAGGTCCAACACACAACAGTTTGGATTGCAGCGTTACATAACATAGGAACAGCATACAGCTTTAGCTACAGTAAGTCAAAACATCCCATTAGATGAACACCGTGAAAGGTCTAATCTTTATGATTCAATTTCTCTTGGGCAGTTCTTTATTAGATTAAGATACATTACCCTCCAATTTTGATGACTGCTGGTTTTGACCACTGATGGAGAACACTTTTCCATCAGTAACTGAAGAGGGAGAAGAAACTTTTTCTACAGAATCATCAGGCAAGGAGCAAGTGGCTAAACGCTGTGATCTTCTCCTCCGTTGGCTATGTTTGTAGGATCTAGGGGAATTCACTGGCTGTGATGGACCTAAAAAGAGATCTTTCAATGTTCATGAAGCAGAGAGATATACCATCATCTTACCGCAGTATCTGAGATCTAAAGATGGGGAGTGCTATAAATAGCTCTCATTTGCAACGCTGGTAATCACAGCAGAAATGGTAAAAGTAATTAAAAGCTGTAACTGCCAGGAGCAAAATGCTCATGATACGATTCTGCTTTTTGCTTATTATACATTAGGGCATCTACTTCCCCACTGATAAAGGCTGTTGTTTTAGGCAAACAGTGCACTTACAGTAAGCAACCCCCCACATAACCCATAAGAGTAGGCTACTTAGAATGGAAGGGGGCAATAGGATCTAACAGCAAACAGAACAAATGACCACAGTTAAAGATTTAAAAAGTCATGGATAGTGGTAACATACAACTTAACAAAAATAAACCAAAACAGTGGTTAATTTTATATCCCACCTCCCATCTTCTGCTATCAATACTCCAACTGTGTTTCAAACGCACACAGCCAATGCGTGGCACAGTAAGGAGGCTCAAGAACCTCATACTTAAAAAAGAGAAAAACACAACCAAACAGGGAGGGACACGGACAGACAACTGATATAGGTTAACATAGGCCTGATTCATTAAAAACAAAAATTACACCTCTTCAATTTCACCCAGTTGCACAAATTTTTCCCATAGAAAAACACTTAAGTCATCAATACACTGTAAATCACTGTTCTCTCCTTTTCTTAAGTGGTTTTTAGAGTCAAAGATGTACAGATTTTAAAATAAAGACAGCAAAAATGAATTTCCATTAGAGGCAGTAAAGACTTGGGAGCCAAAGATTAAAAGACCACATTAAAAATTTCTAAGCTACTTAGTAACCAATTTTTCAATTAGCTAATTTAGCTTTAATCCAAAGTAGAAACATGCTCAAGGAAAACTACTTACCAGTATTCTAGGGGTGGGGAGGGAAAGCGTATTACAACATAGATGACTGCTAATGTTTTGTGGGGACAAAGTACAACTTATACCAACGTGTCCTGAACAAACAAAGACAGCTGAATTTGTACCCCTCCCTCTCCCATTCATTTAATGAGAAAAGATTAAAAGAAACTTATCTCCTTAGGGGAAAAATAAAATAAGGGGACACATGATACAGATATAGTCCTACCTCCTCAATCACTATTCTAAAACTGAAACAAAAATGTAGCTTTTGACTTACTGGAACCAGGATTTATTTTAACTCTTGGCCTCATCATTTAATTTTCTTCACGGAACAAAGAGCCTGACCCTAAGCAACACTAAAAACTTTGTAACATATATTAAAAAAAATATTTACAGAAATCAGCATATTCAAGGATGAAGCATTAACTTTTCCCTGTTCTTCCAACCACCACTATTTTGGTACTTTGCAAATCAGTTACACAGGTTAAGAAGTTGAAAACCTCTGGTATTTTTCTGAGAAACACGATTTTTTAATATTTCCCCACCACAGATCTTGAACCCATCTTCTCTTTCACATGATATTTGGAGGAAATATCACATAAGCTGAAGGATGCCCCAGGCAACAGGTACAGCACATCAGCCTGCTGAAGGCAGAAAGGTCCCCAACCAAGGTGTACGGCTTTTCTTTTTAATGAATCAGGCCCCTTTGGAAAAGAGGTTTGATCTTTCCTGTACCACTGTTAATACTAACGGGGAGATTTAAGCTGGAGGAACAGCCAACCATTAAAAGCCATGACTCTATAAAAATCAATGTATTATTTAAAGGTATTCTTTCCGGTAGAGTAATTCATATACCTTATTATGTGACTTGACTTTTAAAATACTGAGCTGCCCCTAATTTTCCCGCTTGGACCTTTTATTTAAAGTAGATTCATTTTTCAAAGCAATAGCCACTTACAACCAAAGAAAATTTCTGCATATGTCTTATAAGTAATTACGGTATTTTTTTTTAAAATGTCTGTGCTCACTAGTTTTATTTATCACAGAAGAAGGAAGCTGAGAGACCAGCGTCAAATCCTCGACTTGTATTAATTCTGGGGAAAGTGGTGATTTAGGGGGCTTTATACACCCAGAAGAATCTCCAGATTCTTGTTTGCATTTCTTGCTGCGAGCCTTTCCTGAAGACAAAGTTGAGGATAACAGTGCAGGTTTCTGAATGTTGGCAGAACTGCTAATATCAGCTTCATTTTTTTTCTGACTTTGTGGTTTAGGTGAAATCTCCTGAATAAATAATAAAAAATTGATACTTTTATTTCAGTTTCTTCGCTGTAGTTCTCGTATTCTATTTTGATCTTTTTAAAAGCAACTTTAGTATTCAAAACACATTTTAAAGCAACAATATTTTCAGTACAAATGAAAACTACTTAAAATTCATCACATTAAACTTTTTTTAAAGGAGCACTATCAATTGTTTTCAGTATTCAGAACACTTTATTTTCTTGTTATTTGAAATACTTGCAAAAAGCCTGAAAATTTTTCTTCTATTCCCATTTTAAAAATTCACCAAGTCTTTTTAGGTTCTGTCTTTCACCTTCAGTGAACCAGGACTGTCAGTGCTGTATCAAAGTATAACTTGGAGAACGCTTGTTATGAGCTAGAATACATGCACTGATCTATAATCCTTGAATATCTCAAATTCTCCTTGAACTCCAACAGGCTTTTACATGGCTATGAGCAAGAAATCCTTGTTCAGAGGACAGCAGTTCTAAAAGAAAGTTGCTGTGATTTTCCCATCACAGACATTCCCCTGACCATAGCAAATAAAATTAAATTAAATTAAAAAATAAAAAGGAAATTTAGAAAGTTCCTCAGGAGAACTTTTTTTACCATGAATTCCATTAGAAGAACCTGAAAAAGTTGATAATGCTCCTTTAAGGAGTGTCTGAAAACAGTAAAAACTTTCCAAATACTGAACACACTCTCACACAACCCCTTCCAGTGCTGGGAGTCTGGATTTCACCATATTATATGCTTGTGCAAACACATGAAGAAATCACAACTTCTAGCACCAGAGGGTTAAATAGATTGCTAACTGTCAGGAAAAACGAGCAGATATGAGTTAAAACAGTTTTTGAAGAAAGGAAAATAATCAACATATCCAATTTCATCAATTTTCATCCTTCTTAGCACAGACACTGAAGTATTAGTTTTAGACAATTAGCATGCACTGACAGACATCAGCATTTTAGAGTTTTAAGTGGAAGGAAGTTCTTCCTACTTCACTGAAAAAACTGTGCTTGTGTTACAACTTGGCCAAGAACGGCAAACTACAACACCTGAACACCATTTCTGAAACCTGTCCCCTCTCTTGGCCCAGCACCATCTGATAACACCGTAACTAACAAAGCAGAGAGGTATTTCAAGAACACGTGCTTCACTTAATCAAAATTAAAAACATCACACCTCTGATGATTTGTGAGTATTACGTGGTTTAGTTATAAATTACGATTTTATTTTCCACTGGAACTTTCCATGCTCCAATGGAAAAAAAAAAGGCAAAATAATAAAACACTCTGCATTTGCAAAAGGGCACCCCTGAATGCTACTTGAAAAGCTTGCTGGAAGTATCACGTAATGATCCGATGCAAAACATCCCATACAGCAGACATCAGTTCTACCTTGAATAACTCAATTACACATGTGCTAAGTGCAGTTTATTTGTTTAAATAAAATATTCCATGAACTGTAGAGCATACCTATGCTGGTTATGAGAGGTATTACCAGAAATTAATTAGAGTCGTAACTTGTAAATAAACAATTTTATTGTTCATCTTCACAGATGTGAAAGACATTACTACAGCATCCATTACTTTCAAATTACAAAGTTATTTAAACAAGATTAAAAAAATTAAATTAATATTCTGATAAGGTGCTTAACTTCTTAACAGGACAAATTAACATTAAAAACCTTAATGACTTAATGTTATTCATCTAATCAGGTCTTGGTCAAAAGGAAATATAACATGACATACCCTAATACAGTTAAATAAACTACTGTATGTGCAACTAATAGTCTGAGGTTTTGGGTTTAAGACAACTGTAAACTAAAAATATATAAATATAAATAAAATAAAACTTCCATCAACAAAGTCAGTTTCTGGCTATTGGCCTGAATACTTCTATCATGTTCTGTATCACATTATTAAAAAAACCTACAAGATACTTTACCCATTCAACTTTATAGCAGTAGCAGACAAAACCTCTAAGAAATGTCAGCTTCGCTATTGGAAAACCTTTTGGGGAGGTTTATAACTCGGCCATTTTAATTTGAATTTGGGCAGGAACTTGGTGAAAACAGCTTTGAGCTCAAAAATTCTCCTCCTCACGGTTAATCTTTAAATGTTTGTGAGGTTTCTGGTTTTAGGTAGAAGAGAAGGAATAGGACAATTTGGGATTTTAGATGCCTCTTTAAAGGAGCTTAACTAGCGTTTCCAAAAATGAGGTTTTTCAGACCATTAGCATGTAAACAGTGACAGAGACATCTTTTTTCATAGCAATAAAACAGAAATAGCCGAGTTACTAAGTCTAAGAAGTAACAAAAAGTTGTTAGTAAATATGCACTGTAGTTTATACTGTTGCATACACAGTCTATGTAAACCACAAAGTCCCATTCACCGTAATGGGATTCTGCATGGTAAGATTTACATTGTAATGATTCTTCCAAAAACAACATGCTGTAAGCCATTTCACAGTTTTTTGCACATTGAAAATATCACACACAGTAGCAATAAAATCATAGCATCTTTAATATGCAAAAATTTGAGAAATGGAAGGTCATGTCAATACATTGTAAACCTTTATGCAAAACAGCAGTCAATGCATTGACACCGTAGGGGCTCAGTCAGCCGTTACAGTGACAGCATTAAAAACAAAGTCATGTTCCACTGACAACACTCGCATCCAATGCGGTGTCAATGGAAAAACCACAGCAATGCAATTATATATCAGCTCTAAAGAACCAGTACAACCAAAATGTCAAATAAAGTTTGGGGTAGGGACTGTTCATAGAGTGTGCCGGGGCTTAAGAACAGAAGTGCTCTTTTAAGAATTGCAGGCAGCAAGGCTATTTTCTTCAAATGCTGCTGTTAAAGAAGAATGAAAATGAATACAAAAAAGCTGTATTAAAACTACATTAAGGCTCTGATTTAAATCATTGGAAAACAAGGATGTCCTGAATCAAGACTACTCTTCATCCTTAGCTTACTTCATCGTGCTCGGGCACTCAGCCCTTTTAATATGCGCGATAATGCACAACTCGGAGTCAAGCAATGCCTGAACACAGTGGAATAAGCCAAAGAGAAAACGGCAGCCATCAAGTTCTGCAAATATGCAGGTTTAAAAATCAGACCCTTAACATTATTTAAAAGTTTCTTTTTTGTATTTATTAAAATACACACCCTTGCAAAATGTATGGCTCATTGAACGATTCAGAAAACACATACAAGCCTACAACACCAAATTCTTACAATATAAAAGAAACTTCTTTCAAAAGAAGTTCTACTTGATGTCAAAAAACCCTGTTTCAAACACAAATCCAATTTGTGTAAGGGCCTTTTCCTAAGCCAGTCATGGTCACGGCTCCAGCTCTAAGACTGGACCTTGGGACACTGGTCTCCTCACATTTGTTGCATGGAGACTGCATTTTTCTTTGTTTTCCGTTAGTTTTCTAACACAAAAGCTCATTACTGAAATTCAAGTCAACACTGTTTAGAGACAATTAAATTCCATCGTTCTGGCTCTGCCAGAAATGTAAACATAAGATCAATTTTCAGTTCCCTATTATATCTGAAGGGGCAAATTTTAATGTTGTAGGTACTACATCTCCATGGCACACTCCAGTGGGAACCTTGCAAAAGAATCAAACTCTACCATTTCATACCTGCTCCAGGACTGGAGCTGTTTCTTTGTTGCCTTCCTTTTTTTCAGCACCATCCGCAACAACAGCTTTGGATGCCAATAAACCTTAGAAGAAAAATTGCAGAGATTTTTAAGTTAGCAAGTTAGCAGCTTGCAACTGGATTTGCGGAAAACAAAGCAAAACAGTAATACATGAAATATGAACTGCTTATATCTACAGTATAATTCTCCCTGAAGCAGCTCCACACAAAGCTGAACACTTCAATTAGAAGAAACAAAAAGTTAAAGGACATTCCCATGATAGCGTACTTTTACAAGAGGCACTTCTCCAGCATTTCCATTAACAAGATAAAAATCAAATTATCAATTGTAAAATAACGCCTCACTACTCTTTTAAAGCCCAAGCACTTTAAATTTTGAGACATCAATGCTATTTAGAAACCTTTTCTACCCCTCCTCTTTCCAGTCTTTAAGAAATTCTCATTGGAATTTGTATGACTACTTCTTCACTCTAACACAAGCAAACCTTTCTTAGAATAGAACAAGGGATTTAATTTCCAAATGAATATTCTTAGCAGTGGAGCTCCCAAATTACCTCAATACTAAGATCATATTGGGAGCAAATATATCAGAATATGTCACTTCATTCATGAACATACAGTATCACTACTATAAAAAAAAAAAACCTGTGAAAGACAAGGCAACATAAATACGAGGAAGTTTTTTGTTGGCTAAGCATATAGCAAATGCTTCAGTTCTGATTCACATAATAACTTCAAATACTGAAGTATGCAAAGAAAGAAAAAGGTCTATAAGACAAAACAGAACTGATAAAACCCAAAAACCCCACAGATCTGAATAGAAGTTACAATGATAATCTCTGGGAATGTCTGTGTTGGGGTGGAGAGTTTAACTCCTCAAAAATAACTTGAGCTGACAGATCCACAGGAAATTCCTGTTGCATTCCATAAAAAAATCAGATATGCTCAATATTAATTTACAGTGCACAATGCCCAAGAAATTATAAATTAGTGAAGCCTGGGCCTCTCAGGAAGCGTTTAGGACATTTAAAAAAAATGCACACAAAAAAACTCCAGTGTCGTATTTTGCAAGAGAGTTCTCATATTTCAGCATTTCACAATAAATATTAGGTGCTTTTTGTGCTTTCTTCATTTATATTTTATGCTAAATTAAGTTGTGCTTCCGTGTACTGGAAAGTACTTATGTTTTAAATAAACTTTTTCAGACCATCATGTCCATAACAAGAGGTGTAAAAGAAGTGATCCTACAGATAGTTTAATCGGAAAGCAGAAAACTTACTTAGTCCTGTCATATTAATGCAAATAAAATTCTGAGGTATTTAATTCTGCATTAGGCTTCACAAAAGATTTTTATTTCATGAACCTAAATAAACCCCTGTGACTCAGATTATCCTGTCTAAATGAAGTTGCAAAATCAGCAATGTTCTTTATATTGACTTTATAATGTTCTTTATAATGTTGACCTTATAATGTTATAATGACTTTATATTGTTCTTTATAGTGCATCTACAATGAAAAGCAGAAAATAATTCTCAAAATTAAGTGAAGTACAATTTTGAATACTAAACAAGCTACAGTCTATAAGGCAACTTTTGTGGTTCTACAAAGAAGTTGTGGATGCCCCCTCCCTGGCAGTGTTCAAGGTCAGCCTGGACGGGGCTTTGAACAGCCTGGTCTGGTGGGAGGTGTCCCTGCCCATGGCAGGGGTTGGACTGGATGAGCTTTAAGGACCCTTCCAACCCAAACCATTCCATGACTTTCATTTCTAGCTAGATGCTCAGTGCTCAGAAAGTAAACCCATGAAATGAACCTAGATTCTGGCAGGCTTGCAAGTACATAACTACTCTTATTTCCCTCCTCTCTACCCCATTAAGTGTCTTTCTAACCAATTACAAAGACAAAGGAATTCCACAAGCTACTACAGCAGCAGGACCACAGGTTCACCATCCCCACATAAATAAAAGCAAGAGGTGGCACAGTGAACCTGACCTGTTCTGCAAGCTTGCTGCAGGTGTTATCTGTTCTTTTAGGTATCAACACTGCAGCAGGAGCTGGAAACAGGCATTCCAACAGATGCAAAAATTAACTGGAAGAAGACATTAGCACATGCTTAGCAAGAGACATCTTTCAACTTCAGGAAATGTCATTTCCCCCAGGAGTGGTAGAAGATAAAGGAGCAAAGGAAGCAACTTCATGTTGTTGACTGGTGAGCAAAGAGCACCAGAGGCAGCTGTGGCTCTTGTAGCAGACAAGGAGAAGCTTCTGCAATGAACACCAAATGCTGAAGTGAAATCCAGAAGAGCATTCCCTTCAGACAACCTCGTACAACCACATCATCTGCTCTGTTTCCCCAGTACAGCCATAAAACACATCATAAATGAATGTTTTCTTAATAGCTACAATGCTTTATGATTATTTTGCCATTCTGATGGGTACACCAGCATGATTCCCAATCTTCCTTCAAATCTAAAAACTCATGCGGGAGACACAAATAATTCCCAAGTATTTCAAGCATGAGAAATAAGCACATGGCAGGAGAAAGTTTGATCAACAGCAGTTACATTTTCAAAATACTCCATTATATGCATCAATAAAAACCCTACTACAGTGTAAGTTGCATAAATGTGTTAATTTGAGAACAGTTTCAGACAAATTACATCTCATAATTAAAGGATTAATTCACTTTCACTGAACAGTATCATGTTCTGTTAGTGGAGTATGCTGTCAGGGAGGGAGAAACAGAGAGAGACACACTGTTTTTAGAATTATAAGAAGTCAACGACTGTTATGATGATTATGTTATTGTGTTTTCTCATTATTCAGTTCAGTCTACATGGCCCATCTGACTGCTATTATTCTGACAAAACTCCTTAGGAGAGAACACTCTTGACAAGCACAGAAAAATATAATTTCTAGAGCTACAGGTATTTCAGCTGGTTTTGGTATCTAACTGCTATTGGAATGAAATAACAGTGCTCTGTAAATATATATCACTAGTATAGATCTTCTACTGTTCAGGGCAGCAATTAAATTTGTATTTAACTGAGGGTGTATGCAGTATGGGCAAAGGAAAGTAGAAATGAGGCTGATAAATCAGACATCTGTTAACTAAACTCAGTACCAAACAAGCAGCCTTCCAGGAAAGAAACTCCTGGAGGTAAAATACGGGTTTTTTTAAAAGACTGCTTCCTTCACATCATGTTCCATACTGACCCATTTCATTTCAAGTACTGACTGAAAGACTGAAATGGAATGACACACATAAGAAAACTGACTAAACATCCTCCACTGCTGACCCACAAAAGGCTGGATCAGCCAAGACAAGTTTGAATAAAAGTCTCACCACACAGTTTAGTGAATGAGGTTATTTTTCACAGCATCATAGAAGGGTTTGGGTTGGAAAGAACCTTAAAGCTCATTCAGTCTAACCCCTGCCATGGGCAGAGACACCTCTCACCAGCCCAGGTTGCCCAAAGCTCTGTCCAACCTGGCCTTGAACACTTCCAGGGAGGGGGCATCCACAACTTCCCTGGGCAACCTGTGCCAGTGTCTCACCACCCTCACAGTAAAGAATTTCCTCCTACTATCCAGTTTAAACCTACTCTCTTCCAGTTTAAAACCATTCCTCCTTGTCCTATCACGTGCTCTGGTAAAAAAGTCCCTCCACAGCTTTCTTGTAGGCCCCCTTCAGGAACTGGAAGGCTGCAATAAGGTCTCCTCTGAGCCTTCTCTTCTCCAGGATGAACAGTCCCAACTCTCTCAGCTGGTCCTCGTAGGAGAGGTGCTCCAGCCCTCTGATCATCATCGTGGCCCTGCTCTGGACCTGCTCTAACAGCTCTATGTCCTTCTTATATTGGGGCCTCCAGAACTGGATGCAGTACTCCAGGTGGGGTCTCATGAGAGCAGAGTAGAGGGAGACAATCACCTTCCTGGCCCTGCTGGCCACACTTCTTTTGATGCAGCCCAGGATATGGGTGCTTTTCTGGGCTGTAAGCACACATTGTCAGCTCATGTTGAGTTTTTCTCATCAACCAACATCCCCAAGTCCTCCTCGGCACTGCTCTCCATCCGCTCTCCATTCAATTTGTATTTGTACTTGTGATTGCCACAACCTAGGGGCAGGACCTTGCACTTGGCCTTGTTGAACTTCACGAGGTTGGCATAGGCCCACCTCTCCAGCCTGTCCAGGTCCCTCTGGATGGCATCCTTTCCCTTCCGTGTGTCGACTGTGTCACTCAGCTTGGTGTCGTCAGCAAACTTGCTGAGAGTGCACTCAATCCCACTGTCCATGTCACCAACAAAGATGTTAAACAGCACTGGTCCCACTACTGATCCCTGAGGAACTCCACTCATCACTGTTCTCCACTTGGACATTGAGTTGTTGACCGCAACTCTGAGTGCGACCATCCAGGCAGTTCCTTATCCACCGAGTGGTCCATTCGTCGAGTCCGTGCCTCGCCAACTTGGAGAAGGACAGTGTCTAAATGCTTTGCACAACTCCAGGTCAGTGACACTTCTGTCTTACAGAAGTACGTAAGACTTTTTATATGAATGACTATACCCTATCTACTAAAAAAAACCAAAACAAAACCAAACCAAACAAAACAACAAAACCTTCACACAAACCATTATGTACTATAATAGTGAGTGGAACGCATTTCTACCCTTACCAGTCCAAGGGCTCCTCTCTTAAGGAGAGGACTTCACAACTTTTTTCCACCCAGCTTTTAAAGTGCATCTGGTACTTTTCCAGCACAGATACAAACACATTACCTCATCCTAAACACTGATTCAATCAAGGCTGGCAACACAATTTGCTTATTGGGAAGCACAAGGGAGGGAGATACAAATTGAAACAATTTTTTCACAGTTAAGTAAATTTCTATTAAGTTTTGGAATAAAATGCATTTTTTAACTTTTAAAGACAAGACAAACTATCTATTATTCCATTGTTGTATAAACATTCCTGTTGTATAAAATGTATTCTGTAGCTGTATACTTGTTTTCCATTAATACCTATGAAAAACCAATAGGGGATTAATGCCTTAGACACTGAAAAAAAACCCGTTTCAGATCTTCATTGCTTCAATTTGTAGCTAGGCTTGTACACTTTTAAGTGACATACTGTAAACTCTTTTCAGTAACAGTTTTACCTTATGACAAACTATGACAACACATTTAGTTTTTCCACAGCTAACAACAGCTTTAATGTGCAGTGTTATGTAACTCATGACCGTGTTACGAACTTGTACAAACCCCAAATTCACCCAATAATGGAGAAAATTGCGCAGCTGGAGCTAAAATATAAAGAAACTCATCAGTTCAAGATGGCTCCCTTCCTAAAAAACTAAGAAGACCAGGTCAAGCCTGAGACTATTCTCTGAACTTATGAGCTACATAGATTTCATTGCCATGTATAGATTCCTTTAAAATTCCAAACAAGTAAAAGACTGTAGTGAATATGTGCCCTATGAATGTCCTTCTACTTGACTTTAGTACCTTACATGTAATCATGTGTATTTTACTACATTGAAAAGGAAAAAAAGCCAACGACAAAAAGGTATTTTACCAGTGATCTTGTTAAGACGAGCTCTCTTTGCCTGAAATGAGTTGCCTAGATTACTTTTCCTCTTCTGTGATAATGTGCTCTCTGCCTGCACAAAGGCCATCTTTGGAACATCCACTACAGGAAATCCTACTTTTAAACAGAAGAGAAATCTAATAAACTCACATTTCATGAATACATAACACCCAAAATACTTAAATATTTCTGAGCTGCTATTAGAATACTGCAGTAAAGAAACTTTAACATTCTATTAAAATGAAAATTACTTTTTTTTAATCAACCCAGAAATGCTGACCTAACTAGATTTAACTGGTAAAAACTGTTTCTGAACTGATTAATGTTACGTATGATAACAGTTATCATAACTGCAAATGAGATCTCTTTCTCTAGAAATACTACATATTAATTCATTTCAAAATTAACACCAGGAATTCTACTCCGACACTCCACAAAAGCTTAATTTATCTGTCACAGAATTTGTTTTTACCAAATGTGTCACTAGATGTAGGCTCCTCTTCCTTTTTTTGGACTTCCTCCATGATTGTAGAGGTTGAGGTTTCTTCCTTTTTTGAAGGAACTTTTAGCCATTTTCTGTCCTCTTTATCTTTATTGCTGTTTGCGCTGGTTCTAGGTTTAGTTCCCGCTTTGTTCTTGGCTGCTGCTGCTGCAGCAGCTTTGACCAAAGCTATCCAATCCTCCAAAAAGGAAAAAAAAACAGTAAGTAAGTATTAAAAAGTGCCTGAGACTCAAATAGAAAATACTTAGAAACCCAGTGAAACTTCCATCTAGAAATATTTGAGCGGTTGAATTTATTTTAATGGCTACTACTCAAAGAGCGGTAAAATAAGTTTCCCAAATTACCTAAATAAACTGGAAGTATTATCAGTATGCCACACGGATAAAAAGCAAAAAGAAAAAACCTTCAAATACCAGTTTACAGAATTCTGCCTGCACACGTTCCCTGCTGCCTATCTTCTGTGTCAGAACTTCAGAAACCCAGGAGGCTCCCAAACCCAGAACACTGACTTTCCTCTTACCCTTCTTGCTGCGCAATACACCAATTCCATTGCTGCTCAAATTTAACTGTTACTCAAAACTACAATCAACTCAAAGCACGGTCCAACCGGGCGCATGATTGGGCAGAGCTCTTCCTGAATTAAATTGATAAAGTAGGGGTAACTCTTGTCTTATTACATCTGTGTTTCTACAGAGAGTCTTCTTTGACTATCTTATATTACAATAAATTCATCCAATAGTTTCAGTAAAGTGCTCTCTCTCTATATACATATGACTGCATCTCACAATCCACATTTAAGGTAACAAAAGTGCCATTTTGTATAATGGCATATTTGACCATACAGAACCACCCAAGGGGTGAACAACAGAACGTACAGCCCAAATTAATCTACTTTTAGGCATGCAGACAAGGTCTGGCCAATGGAGAGAACTAAATACTTCCAAGGCTGAGCCACACTCTCTCCACCAGTTTGGAGTGATCAGACTCCTGCCTTGTGGCTCCTGAGTGCCACGGATCAATCCGATTGCAAAAAATTTAAATTGATCCTTTTTACTGAAGTATTTTTTCAAATTTTCTGTAACATCAAGGTACAGTTACATGCAATAAAAAAACCAGCAGCAATGTTCACATTCCACCAGTAAGAATTAAGCATTAAGCTTAAGTGTTCTGAACGATAATTCATTTATTACATGACAATCTGGCTACAAGGGTTATTTGCAGGTTTGGACTAGCACATATAAAAAGGTATGATAAAGACTATCTTTTGTCTAGTTTCACATGAATGCTTTACAAATAATGTTTGTACTTTTTCCACAACTGTAGAGAGACTGTATTTTATTCTGGACTGTTTCCTGGTGAACAGGAATTATGAGGAGTGGCAAAGGTAGCTAGGGTTGTTTAGTTTGGAGAACAGGAGACTGAGGGGAGACCTTATTGCTGTCTAAAACTATCTGAAAGGAGGGTGTAGAGAGGTGGGTGCTGGTCTCTTCTTGCATGTAACCAGTGATAGGACAAGAGGAAATGGCCTCACATTGTGCCAGGGGAGGTTTAGACTGGATATGAGGAAAATTCTCTTTACTAAAAGAGTGGTCAAGCACTGGAAGGGGCTGCCCAGGGAGGTGGTGGAGTCCCCATCCCTGGAGGTGTTCAAGAAGTGTGTGGATGTGGCACTTCAGGACATGGTTTAGCGGGCATGGTGGTGTTGGGTTGATGGTTGGACTCAATCTTAGAGGTCTCTTCCAACCTTAATGATTCTGTGATTCTTGTTGCTATGTTATCATATGAGGTACCTAAAGGGTCTTGATTTTTCCAAGTCTTGCTTCAATGCAACTTTTTCCCACTCATGATGTATTTTAAGTCTTCCAAATTTCTGTTCTACTGAGGGTTTCTTTGCCTTCTTTGATGTATGAGAAAAGCATAACACAAATACAAATATTAGTTTTCCGTGTATTATGCTCTTCCTTTTCCATAGCACAATGCTTTTAAATCACTGCTTTACACAGCTTACGCTTCTACTTTGCGTCAAACTATGTACTTAGAAACAGTTTTGATACCTCTAAGATAAAGTGTTCTGTGTCCAAACTGCCAAAGTAAGATACATACACTCAGTCTAGGTAGTAGCAGGAAAGTTTGGAAGCGCTTTGGCAATGCTTACACAACAGGCAACTACCAAGGCCACTTGGTGATATGCCAGCCACCAAGAGTATGTCTAACTGCCAGCTGCATAGTCGATCAAAAACACACATACCTCTTTTTCGGCCAGCCAAAACGAGCACACACATTAGCCCCAGTCCATCCAGAAGGACAAAAAGAGCAGTGAACTATTTGTGCTGGTGAGGAGTTAGGAGACCTGAGAGTAGAAATCTTACACTGTACCCTGGGCCAAGGGATGAAGAGGATCAGTAACATGGCCGGAGCTTGGATCTTATGACAAAAGTGGGAAGCAAAGGAAGCCCAGCCTGCGTCAAAACAGCTCTGGAAAGCATTTTAATATTCAGTCAAGCTGAGCACCCTGAAATCAGCAGCTTTCTGAAGATAAAAGCTTCAAGGACCACACTAAACTAACTATCCTGTGTTAACAGTAGCTGTTCTGGTGCATCATGAAGGGTTTTTTTGTTTGCATTTTATTTCATTGTTTGGATACTCTCCTTAAGACATGGAGCTTACAAAGGGTAGCAGGACACATAACAATGAAGCAAACAAAAAGCCAGAAGCACAGATGTCAATTATGGTGCTAATCTAGAAAAAAAAGTACTACATGTAAACTTAAACTCAGCAAAGAGAACCTTGAGCAGGGGGTGGACAAGTTGTTATCAACAGGTCCCTTCCGACCTCAACAGTTTTGTGATTTTTGAACTAGCCAGAAACTCTGTGGCTCCATTCTTACTTTGGCTCCGGAGTAAACATATAGGCACTACAGTGACACAGGTAATGCCTGCTTTTTACCTTGAACTCCTGCTGAGTGACTGCTCAGCTGCACAGCTCCTGTTGCACAAAAAGTACTTAGGAACTAAGATGCTAAGGTGACTATATTCCTTTTGAAGGGCACAGGAACTCTTCCTTCAGAAAGACGCATTTGTGCCTTTTTCAGACTTTTTATAAATATAAAACAAAAATTGGGAGAATAACAGTGAGAGTCTAAAGCACAATGAATTCTGAAGTCTGTCTCACGATGGTTGTAAGAGATCTGCTCTGTCAACCATAACAGCAGGACACTAAATATCATAGATATCACAGAAATTAGCTGCACATCATTAATAGTAGGACTTTTCCCCAGAGCATTCAGTACACACAAAGCTGGAGGCCCAGATATGAACACATTACAAATTAATAAAGTAAAAGCAAAATCCTCCTAAAATAAGTTTTCCCTACTTCTCCCCCGTGTCCTGATACTGTCCCTCTATTGGCTGTGGTTTTGTAACTCTGCCCCAGTTACTCTGCACCATCCAGCCTGATCTCCCACTTCCCACAGTATCCCACCCCAGTGAAAGTTTCTCATTTATATATATAACTTTTTTCAAAAAGTGTATTCCCTTCATTTTTTAAATTCTTACTAAAATTCATCTTTCCAGTAAGCTGAGACACTTGACAGGAGAGAAGTAAAGGGACACTGTAGTTAGAAGACAAAATATTACTTTATCACTACTGAGGAAAACTGTCATTATGCTAAATAATGACTAAAATAATTCACTAAATCAAAGCACAGGAAATGGCACGATCAAGAAAAACGTTAGTTACTCAACAGCCTTACACATCAATTGGCTAAACCACTTGTATTTTAAAATTTTCCTTTGTGTCGCCTTAAACCTGCAACAGTGGGAAGGCAAAACCAGAATCATTTCTAAAATCCAACCCTTGTGTCAATGGCAGAATTCACACACACCCTTCTCCCTTCACCTGCCTACAATCGCCACCTCTTTGCTTCTCTGCAGTACGAGAGATTCAGCTGTTGTACCTCTCCTGACACATCACACCTCCCAACTCCCACACATCCATACATAATCATACATAAAACATCATCAGTCTACTGATCCAAGCCTGGATTCCTTACCCTCACCTTTCAATTCTATACAGTCTGCCCCACCTACAACTAGGCTCACGTTGCCTCCTGTCACACCATCTTTTTTCCTCTGTCCCAATCGCAAATCCATGCTTTTTCCTCAGCTTCCTCTTCCTGTGTGCCAAGTCCCCTCCCTCTCCTTCAAAACCCTCCTCAAAACTCACTTCTTTTGGTTCGATTTCCGTCACTAATCTCAGCTCCGGCGCTATCTGCTCCCTCTCGCGCGCCTAATTACATCGAAGATAAAACAAAAAACATGAAACAGAAAAAGTAAGTTATCCGAATATTTCATATGTGCTCTCACAAGGGCAGTCTCAATAACCCCATGTTTTGTTATTTTCTCTCTGTACTACATTAGCCACATTGCTGTGTGATTTCAGTTGATTTGCAACCTACCCTATGGTCTCATTGCATTGAGCCACACAAGTATTTTCCACTCTTTAAAAATTTTGCCTTTCCACCCTCACAGCTGAGTCTTATTAAAACACGCTTCTGCTGCAACTCAAAAATAGCTTTGAGTGTTGCAGTGTTTACAGTCTCTTCCTTTAAGACATGCTAAGCTCAAAGCAAAGAACTAACTAGTCTGCGTTCCTTTCTCCATGTAATTCAAATTCTGCATGCTTAGCACACACCTTCCAATCAGATCTTGCATCTGTTAAATTTGCTAATGCACTAGAACTTAAGTATCTTAAGCTCACATTCATCTCTTAAAAGGTATTTTTTCTTTGGAAACAGACAAAAAACAAGACATAGGTTGAAATTAAGCATGAAATGTTGGATCTGCAACTCCACAATTTCAGATCAAGTTACACCGCTGGCCTTTTTTTAAGCTTTACATAATTTTTAGTGAATATCTTCTTATAAACTAAATAATACAAAATATCAAAAGCATCCATTTGAGTTCTAGGCTTGGAGAAAGTTCAGTTTCAGGTAACTTATTTTCAAACCGAATCTTAGATCACATATTTATTCTTAAATAGCACAAAAATATCTTGAAGAGCAAACATTTTACCATCGCATAATGGCAGAGATATTGCAGAAAAAGAAGTATCTTTGCCTTTGAAAGCTACAGAACTTCATGCCTCTCTCCAATTTTGCAAAATTAAATGTTGAGACCAGCATAAATTAGCATTATAGCAAGTGTAATTGATGTCCTTGCTGCAAGACAAGTTAAAAATTCTAAATCCATCTCAGAAAGTGTAAATTTGGCCCCACTATTCTTTCTCAAGACTTCATTGAAGTCACCTACATTCAGCCCCTGAGATGCATGAGACTGACCATAACACTCAACTGCTGAGAAAAATGAGAAATGCTAGATGAGCTGGACTGACACCGAGCATGTCTGGACACTGAAGTGGTTGCTAATGGATTTACAATTTATTTTTTCTTTAAAGCTGACAACGTCAGTGACCTAAGAGTTGTAACTCAGGATTAAAGAAAACATAGCTCCCTAGAAAAAGCACAGAACAGAGTAAGGGACTTCTTTGCATTGTCACAGAAGGGCTCTTTCAGGTCAGTCACAACCACATTATCCAAGTTTTTCTATTTATGAAGTAAAATTAAATACTCTAGCTTCCTAACTTACTGTCATACTGAAAGTATTGTTTGAAATACTACATACTAGTTCAATAAAGTTTCTGTGAAAGTGCAGCATGAAGCCAGTGTTATCATGACTATGGATTTCAGTTTAATCTCTTCAATTAAACAATTTAAACAGTGCAGTGTTGCCTGCACCAAGTCTCAATGTTCTTTGCACAGGTGATCAACCCTAGTATAACCCTAATATACAGCTACCTATAACCTGGAGGCCAGGATATAGAAATGTTTGAGCTAATTTGCTTATCCATCTGCCCTTATCACAACAGGGATGGTTACAACAGTAGCTATTAAATACCTGAATGGTGTTTGTCAAGCTAAGTGTACTCTGAAGAAAACTGGGACCAAACAGGAACAGTTTTTTCATATTTCTTGTCTCCAACTCTCAAATAGCTTCAGTGGAGTAATTTCTCATGAACTATGAGAATACAGTTACCATGCAAGATAAGTGCAATGGCATTTGCACTGAAAGGATGTAACAGTTCGTTGTTTTTCTTTTGCATGTAAAGATATGCCTGTTGAATAAATCATGTCCTCTACTTCACATCCTCCCTCAACTTCTACTCAGCATCTCTTCTTTATTTCTGATAACGTTCAGTTTCTGTTAAAGAAATATTTACCTGTCTGGATCCCCAAAAGTTCTGGTACAGGGGAGAAAACCCCCACAGAACAATCCTGTTTGTAAGAAGATATGAGCAAAAAGCTACCACAGTAGCAAGCTGAAGAGATGAGGTGGGGAAGAAATAAATAAGTGATCAGCAGCACAGACTACTGACAAGCAAAAGCTTTTTCCTGAAAGGACACTGGAGGAGAAAGTCTCTGGATGCCTCTGGTTCTGTAAACTCCGCAAGACAAAACTCTGGGAACAGATTAGTTTGCAATGGTGTGTACAGCAGCTAGTCGTGTTGGGTAGAAGCAAGACTAATTGAGCAGCACACTCTGGGGCACCATCCATAAAGCAGGTGAAGCAAGGCAGTACAGGACCTAGAATAAAGACTAATCTAAAACTAGTTGTGCGAGATGACATTTTTACTATCTTACAATATTAAAAAAAAAAAATCTATATAAAACCTAACAAAGAGATACCTAAAGTATTCTTACCTGTCCTTTTGCATCCTCTGGCATAGATTTAATATGCATCCTCTTAAGACATCGAATAACACCATCATAGAATTGAACTGTGAATGTTCCTAGAAGAGGATTGATATAATCACTATGAGCAGTTAAAAAACAAACACACCTTGTTACTATGAAAGCTTTAGCAAAATGTTTTGTAGGCAATATGAACAAAGTTACCAAGTGTCACCTACAGTCAGGATCGAGAATTTTAAGAAAAATAAATTACAGTCTCAAAAAAACCTTGCTTTTATACTGTTGCTTCTTGTCCACTTGGACAATTTCAAGCATGTTTAAGCTAGTGTGTCACTTTTGCTAATAATTCATTGAATCAATTAAGTAATATTTAAGTTGCTACAACAAGGAAACAATTTCATTCACAATCAAATCCTCATTTGCTTTAAACTACAGTAAAAACTCCAACTTCTACTTATGTTCATTAGAAATGTCACCCCATTGTGAAGTACTGCATCTAAGCTGTTCCTTTATTTCCCCATTTCAATTGCTTTTCTTCAATACACAGAACTTTTGAGAGACCTATTATTCCTAAAACAATTACAAAAATTTAAATATATCATTATTCCATAATATTTATAACACTGTGCACAGGATATTCTTCCCCTCACTGAGGATATATTAAGCATTTTGTCTTAGAGAAGAAATTCCAATTGTCTAGTTCCATACAGATAAAAGATCTAAGATTAAAGATTTCTTATTAAATTTGACAGAACAGAAACATTTTCACTTAATATTGAGGCAGTGAAGAAAACTTTACATGCATGCCACTTTTTTAAGCAGACTACAGCTGCAGCACAGCATATGCAAACAGTCCTTACCAACGGGTCATAGTGAATACATACCCTCTTTATTAATTGCTTCAATCTTTGCAGGGTAATATCGACAGTCTGTCCAACGAGCTAGGACTTCTTCTCCAGGTTTAAAATCCTATTTCATACAAATTTAGACATTAATATTTTAATCATTTGGATTTTTTTTCCTGAAAAGAATTAAACACTATATGCTTGAGTGATTTAATATACAAAAACAAGTAGGACAGTTCACCAAAAAAGAGTCAAAACCAAAACAGATGTGCCACTTACAACAAATTCTTCATCGTCTTTCAGCCCTTCTTTCCTTAATGCTGGTCGCTCCAAGGGTCGCAACCTATTGCTGTCCCAGTAAATCCACTCGTCGTAGCGATGACTCCAACGTTCAAAATGGACCAACATCTTCCCCTCTTCATAATCCATCTTCTCAATACGAGATGGATACCTTTAATGATAAACAAACTGATAAACCCCAAAGCTTTTTCCAGGGTTTTAATTTTTGGCATACAACAGTGCTTACACGACCATTCAGAATGTTACACTAATACCTTGTACGGAGAAATCTCCAAGTCCAAAAAAGATGAAGCTACTAAATAGATAGCAGGATAACATTTATTTTAAGAGTTATCTATACACATCACAGATCTGTCATCAGCTTCATCCTGGTCAGATGATTCTACACAAATTTAAACCTCAAACTCCAGACCAAGACTGCCTGAAATTGGCATTGCAAGTTTGTGCTTATCAGCTTTAAAACCTGTGTCCGTTTTAAATCCTGTAAGATTTTTCATTTGCTTGGGGATAGGAAGGATATGAAATAGTTTTAGGAGTACATTCATTACTTCTATCATATAATATGTTTCACCAAACTATACCACTGATTCCAGACAAATCCAAGGAACTAATCAAACCCAGAAGTCAACAGAACTTAAACTACACCACTTACTAAGTAACAGATACACTTCCGTGATTCCACTGCCACTAACTTTGATACATAGTAACTATTTTTTAGTCATCATCTCTGTAACTCCACAAGCACTAAAATAAATGTCAGTCTTAATTAACAAGTGCATTTTACTTTCAGCAAGCATTTTACATGCTCAGTAGAACTAATCAGGACTGAACTGCAAGAAGGTCAAATCTTAGGCATCTACTTATTTTGGGTGTGGCATAGCTTTATTTTAGGAACCATAAAGACTGAGATTACACTTGTAGAGAAAAAAGGCAAATTCCTCTAACTTCAGCAATTACTATTCAGTCTTACTATTTCTGTTTCACCAAAGTGATGTACTTCACAAAAATGTAGTAGGGGAGCAAGGCTCAAGCTGGTTTTGTCACACTACTTCCTCCACCATTACTTCCACTGCATGAAATGTAGAGAAAATTGGAATGAGGCAGAACTCAGCTCCCTCTGCCCTTCACAAAAGTACTGCAATGGATTCAAAAACTGCAAAGAATCTCCTAGGAAAAAAGTTAGTTAGATTAAATTTTCTCCAGAGCTTGTATTAGGGATGGTCTAAAGTTAACAAAATATGAATTGAAAAGAAAGAGCACAGCAAAAGGACAGCTGTCTTTCACTTCCATTAAGAGACAACCTGTTTTTCGACCAAAGTGCTGCTGTGGAGCAATAGTAAGAAAGCAGAGCTTGAGCAACCAATTTCCAGTCCTACCACAAATGCCATCAGCTGGAAATGCAACCGACATATACAGGAACCCTGTCAACATTTTCAATTTTAAATATTTTCTCTCCAAAATATTGATGGTGCTGATAAAGGAGTCTTTAACACTGTGTTCTGATTAAAATAGAAGTTCTCAGGAAGTACCGGCTTTCTTACTTCCAGGTGACTAGAACAGGGCATTAAAACAAAAGGTGTCAATCTCAAATTGCTCTTTCATTTCTCTAGTCCTACTTCTTCAGCTGAAGCAATGCACACAGCTTCTCAACATCTAAATAACTCAAGAGTTGCTGAATGAGAACAACTCTGATTTTCTAGGTTACTATTGCAACTACTTCAGCCCCATTTCACCCTCGCATCAGAATGCACAGACAGTCCTGCCTCTTGTTGCATTTCTCTCATCCATATATTTCACAAGTGCAAAATACTTTCACAATGTCTTACTCTCAAATTGCAGACTCTCATTTGCTACCTTAACAACAAAATCTGTTTCAAGATAGAAAAAGCCCATGGAACTTCTTTCAGAGTAGCAGGAGATCAGCCCCCTTTCCCCTCTCAAGTAAACTGGCAACAAGAATCTGACAAGAACAGCGAAGCTGGTGATATACTGTTCAAAACAGAAAGCAAAACTCATAGCTCAAAACCCAAATCACATCGTCAGCATTCTGCTTTAACTTTAAACAAGGCTTCAAGAAAATCAGTCACCCAAGAGATGGTTTTCCTAAGCCCTGCCTCTGATGATGCTTTCAAGTCCACAAGCTGCTACATTTTAGAATTAAATTCCTAAATTTCTTTCTAGGTTTTTTTTTCCATCTTCCTGAGTGTTCTAATTTCAGACTTCTTACAGCTATACACCAAGTGTCAGAATAAGCAGGAAGAGTAGCTGAGCACAGGAAAAAGTTACTGCTCCCTACAGCAAATGTATGAGTAATCATGTTACCTACTAGAGTTTGGAACAGAAGGATGGCAGAAAAAGTATTTAACAGAGAGAAGGAAGGAAAAATACTCGGAAGCCCAGAGGACAGGAAGTTCACTTTACAGCAATCAAAAATAGGAGCTTGTGCACAAGCACTGAAGCTGCAGGAGTGAAACGGAAGACAAACCAATGGTGTGTTTTCTCACTGAAGTTGGAAATTCCAGGTTTACCACATGTCAGCCAGGTAGTCACACAAAACCATGGTTATTTTACAAAATTCAGAGACCATCAGCCAAAACACAGAATTCTCCTTTTCCTCCACATCTAAAACGCAAATGCTCTGTTCCCATTATGACACTACCCTACAGTGATTCGCCTTGGTACATTTTTATTGTTGTTACAGCTGGTAGCTTTCGCTGGTCATCAGCGGCAAAGTCACCACTCCAAGCACTGTCTGTAAAAGACAACAGAAGGTAAAAACTGGCAAAATATGGTACACAGTCCTGGAAAGAGAAAACTGAGTAAGAGAGGGTGGTAAAATACAGAGTATAGTTTAAAGACAAATATATGAAAATGAAGATAGTTTTAAGGAAAATTCAGTTAACTAAGAATCAAGAAATTAGTAAGTATCAGGAAAAAAAGAAAGAAAAGCTAGAATCAGATAATAAAAGAAGATGTGCAAAATATTAAGTCTCATTAGGGATCACTCAACAGAGGAAATGCTGCACCAAGTATTTATTGGTTAATTTGTCTTTGATAAATACAGTTTCTGCTATCGACCTATTTTAAAAATGTCGTGACTAGCTCTGAATCAAAATTCATTGTATTGGTTTTGCACAGTTAAATCCTATAATAACCATACAATCACATAATGGCTTTATTCCAACAATTTATGTTTCATCAACGTTAAGACAGTGACTGCAAGATGAACAAAGCCAAACGTGCATTCAACTCCAGTACTCAAAGATGGAAGATTTGGCAAATCTCTGAACCAGCCAAGTTATAGATGATTGGTTATCAGGCAACCCAGAAAGAACTTTGTATGGATTTAGCAACAAGCTATTACCCTCAATATCCACTAAATTTAGCCAGGCAATGTGCCACAAATATGTATAAACAGTAGTATTTCACAACACTGATCCCACAGTGGAAAAGAGCAGAGCACACATATTGCAGAGTTTACTATTGCAAATTTTACACTGCACAGAAATTTTTGATGTTATAGTTTTTGTACTTCTGCTAAAAATAATCAATTTAATAAATGGCAAAATTATACAAATATTATACAAGGCAAGTATGTATTTCCTGCTAATAAAAGATACAACGGTAACAAACTTCTTAATCCACCTTTTTTAAGAATTCTAGTAGCAATGCATACAGGAAAGCTTTTACTATGGCTTAGAGCAATGTTTATATTATTCTGTAGAAAGAAGATTAATATGAAGATGGTAACATCTCAAATACACGACAAATGTTATGTAGAAGTTGCTTCCATTGCAAAGCTACAAGTAGGCTTTATGAAAAAGTACTACAAAGGGCAATACAAACATCACTTCCTACAGTATCAAGTGTAACGACGTTTCAACAGGCAGGTTAATTCTTCCCGTTCACCCCCAGTAAGTTTTGGTACACAAACAGATTTGCTGACATTTGTTCAGCACAAACCAGAAAAACACACTAAAAAAAACTGAGGAAAAAGTCTTTACTTTTCACAAAGAAACGACAACAAAACAGACCCCCACACTGCAGCTCAATAACAAAGTGTTCTTTTTGTGGGAAGAAACAATCACCTGCAAGTTTTGGGTGTGCTTTTTTTTTTTTAACAGCATGCTGGAAATAGTATTTAATAATCCCAAATACAGTCTCATCCAAATTTCTGGGGGAGTTTGTTCTTGTTTTTTCAAAAAAAAAGAGAACAGGAAAACTATTGTTAGTTTATGGCATCTGCCCAGTTCACATATTGCAAGCTCTCCATTCTCAGGTTCCAGTGATGTCAACCCATAAGAACTAGGCAACGTTTTTGTAAAGCTGCAAAATCTAATATGGCTTACAAAATTTACACTATGGAGCACTGGTCAGACAACAAAAATGCTCCAATGTTCATATAGGAAAAATTAATGGGAATCTTCCAGTTTTCATTACTTGACAGTGTTAAAAAAAATACCATTTTCCCCAGTGAATTAATATATATTGATGGTTACATGGACAGCATTTTTCATTTTGACATCACCATCATCATCTTCCTTTTGACCCTTCAGAAGTGACCAACAAGGGGTGAATTGCCCTGTGAGATGGGACAATAATTATTTCAAACTATAAAAGTGAATGCAAAAGTTAGTAAGTTTGCTTAAGTTTGCACCTACAAAGTCTAGAAACAGACACATACTTCCTGCCTTCACAATAATGGTGTAGAAAGTCTTCCCTTCTACCTCGTAGAGGATATAAAACCAAATACTCTCCATTCTGACTTCTCCACAAATAGGCTCCTGGCATCTGCAAAATCTGCAAACAACTATTTCTAACTCCCCACCTTTCATATATATGTGTAATGCGTTATATCAATATAAAACAGAGTCTTCACAGTCCTTTCAAATGCCTGGCTGTCAAGTAACGCAGTCAACTGAAATCCTAAGCAAGGACTGCACAAAATCAGAATTCCCAAAGTCTAACAGGGAAAAAAAGCTTCCTCCGTACTGAAAAAAAAAATCCAAACCACACAGATAAACAAATATACCACATTCAAGTGCTGCTGTTCTGATAATTAACATATTTTAGTGAGCTATTTCCATTCCAGTACTGCAAAAAGGGCCACGTCTCTTTAATTCCTTTATTACCTAAGATACAGTTTAGATCAAGTAGATTAATAAAGATTATGGTCTCAAAAAAGGAATAGGGTTGTTTTTTTCAAAGCAATATCTGGAACTTACAGGACAACCAGTAGAGAGCTATAGACACGGAAGACACAAGAAAACAGCATAAAAACAAAGAAGAGATGCATCTTTAAATACATCAGCTTTGCAGAGACTGTGTCCTACTTGTGGGAGCCAACAGCTTAAGAACCAGCCTTACACACAGGCACACGCTTGCAGATAAGGGCAGTTTTACTGCTGTTTCATTTGTTTTGTCAGTGACAGGGATATGTGCACGTTATCAGTTTTTGTATCAAATCACAGGATAATTCAAGTTGTAAGGGACCTCAGAAAGCCTCCAGTCCAACCTCCCACTCAAAGCAGGGTCAGCTATGGGATCAGACCAGGTTTTCCAGAGTTCTACCCAGCCCAGCCTTGAAAACCTCCAATGCTGGAGACTCCAAACTATTTGGGCAACCTAATCCACTACCTGACTGTCCCACGGGGAAAAGACTCTCCTTGTACCTGGCCTGAATCTTTCTTGTTTCAGCTTGTGCCTGTTGTCTCTTGTCCTCCAACCACACATTGCTGTGGAGAGCTTGGCTAAGTCTTCTTGATAACATCCCTGTAGGTATTGGAAGGCTGCAGGCGGGTCTTCTGAAGCTAAACATGTCCAGTTTCCTCACCCTTTCTTCACAAGTCCTTCACTCCAGACCCCTGATCATCTTATATCTATTTAATAATTTTCTATTTTCAGTCAATCCCATCTCATTTCCTATCTGCTGACAGATGATCACACTGATTTTGGTTAGAGCTGCATTCCCTAGTTTGCTTTAGTGAATTTAAATTTAACAAGTGGTACAAATTCATTATAGAAAATTACCTCCCCTGCAACAGTCTACTGTTTTTCACTTGATAAAGAAGCAGTTGTAGTTACCTTTACAATAAAGCAAAAACAAACACGCTCATTGACAGCCTGTCTTTGTAAATCAGTTTGCCCAGGCTTTCTTCTACTCAGTAACCATAAATGCCAAATGATACCAGTGACCCAAACACTGTCCGCAAAAACTTCCTCATTTAAAGTGCAGGGTTTTTAATCAGTAGTCAAAGTACACAATACCCTCTCCAAAGTTTACAGAATCCAAACAGAACAGCAAACACCATAAGATGAATTTCAGCAACTACTACACAGACGGAAATTTAAGACCTGCAGAAGTGCCTCAGAAAGCAAAAACATACCACAGAACTTTACTGTATTTTTTCACATCCTCTAGAGGCTTTTCTTGATTAACTTTTTAATTGGTCACAAACACTGGATCTTTAAATGACAGGAGGCTTTCAGAAAAATGGAGGAAAAAATTTAAAACCCTTTCAAAGGCTATTTTTCAGCAAGTGTTCTCAATTTGTTGTTTGTAGAAAGCCTGAGCTAAGCAATACCACTGCTCTTCAATTTTGGTTTTGTTGAAAATCATAAAGAGATTTCATGTAAGTTCAGCAACTTTATCTTCTTTGAAGTATGTTCTATTTCTGCATGCAGATGAGGGGAAAGGATACAGCTTATATATAGAAAGAATTTAAAAAACATCCACCACCCCCTTATGCAACAGAAAGCTAAGGAAAAAAAAAAGTCACATGGACTTTTATTCCAGCCCATGTCACCCTAATAATAACACAACAGTAGGCTTTCTCTAAGAAGCTCTTTGGTTGTGTGCATAAATATTATTTCTTTTGAAAATGTGTCCTGTTTTCGGTGTTGCTGTAACTGCAAAATTTTAATGTTAACTTTTAACTTTCTGCTCTCATATACGACACCAAAGAAGTTCACATGCAAATAAACTTGACCTGTTCTACCTGATGCTCCAGATAACAAATCAATTCCTAGAAAATTCAGAATAAATTCTATTCTGCCCAAAAATACCAAGCAACTCAGCTGCAGAACTTGCAACAGGGCCCACACCTGACAAGGCCAAACCTAGACAAGTACTTCAGAACAGATACACGACCTGCCCTGTGAAAAGGCTGAGCAGATCTGACACAAACTACACACTAGATATTCAGTGATCTTTTTCTGATACAGTTAAGCTGAAGCTATTTTTATATATTAACTTTTATTAGCTAGTTACATTAACCATTTACCTCTAGTCACAGGGGATGCTATAAAAAGTTCTACTAAAATTATTTTATTTTTATAGCACTATTCAGACAGCTTCATGATCTTGACGTTCAGTTACAGAATCAGCATGTTGAAAACCCTCCCTACAGCAACAGATTAAAACAAGGACTGTGCTGGAAATCATAGTTTCCTTTAGAGACTGTTTACTGAAACAAACACTTTTTCTATAATTAAAATCAAAGCTCCACAGACAAAAAAGTTCAACCCAACCTTTTACACAGATATAACTAGTAAACGTGTAACACACAGACTGCTCAGTCACATAACCTGGACTTGGTAGGAACAGGTATTTACCTGAACATGGTTAGTTCTCCAGGAATGCAACAGAAAAGCAGGTACAGGCATCTACATTTCCTAGCCCTAATTAAACAGAGAGCAGCTAAGAAAAAACTTCTGGGTAGAAGCATCACCTTCCTACGTCAGACGCTTTAACAAAACAAGGGAGTTTTCAAACTGAAATAGCACGGCCAGTGCACATCATGAAATTAGCCCACTTGCATTAAGAAGTTTTTGACTCAATTTACTTCAAAAGAACAACTCTTTTCACAATACATACGCTGTGTAGCATGGTCCTTGTGCCCACAAATTTCCATTTTATAGTCTTGACTGCAGAGTCAGTTTTACGCACTTCATTCCTCCAACTGTTTGATACAAATCCAATTCCACTTACCTATTTCACGAACTCCAATTGAGGATTTTTTTCTTTTTTAAAATCGGTTTTGTGAACCTATGAAGTATGACACCTGACTACAAAACAAATTCAGGTGCACACCTTCAAACTAAACCAAAAGAGGCCTTTAGTGACAAAAGTCTGCCACGTTAACACACCGAGCATCTCACAGATGACGCCACATTCCACTCTACTCTGGAAATGCTCTTTGCTTACTACAGCAGCACAAGCAACTAAAAGCAAACAAACGAAAACCCACAAAAGTTTAATTTAATTTCTGAAGAGATAATATATTCCTAAAAGTTGAAAGTTTTAGCAGACTTATTGGGAAATTCAAAAGGTTCACATGTGAAACAATCAACTGATAGGTGCACTAACTTTTTATGATTAAACATCAAAACATATTCTATATATACACAAAATAATTATGCTCTTAGCAAATACTGCACGATATCTTCCATACCATTTTTGTAAATAGTCCAGTGCCTCCAAGCGAGCACCAATCTCAAACGTGATTCCAGGACGATTTGGAGGCTTTTTACTCATCTTGATATTTTCTTTTTCACTACCTTTGGAAGAAAAAAAAAAGACACATTAAAACACATAATGTTGTCTAAAGCATGTCACTGACAGCAAATATGTTCTAGAGAATGGAAACAGATGTGAGTTTTCTATCCTGACTTTCCACTAACTGCTTAGTTTTCATTAAGTATAGTCAAGGCCCATATCTGGCATTAAAGAAAATTCACATATATTCATTCAGATTTCTTTCCCTCCTCAAAAAAAACTATCATCAACCTTAAGTCAAGAAAATTTAAAAAAATGGTGCTCATCTCTGAAACTGTACTACACTGAAATGCCTTAGGAAGCTTTTGGAGAGTAATTTTAAGAGTTATCTAGAGTCAACGTGTGTTCTCTCGACTAACATGGAAAAAGTCAAAATCTATAAAAACGTACCTTACCAAGAACAGAAATTTAAAGATATGCATGGCCTAAAGGGCAAGTAAAATGAGATCAGTAAAACCAAAAATAAACAAAAATGCCACCTTCAGCTTTTCTATGCACTCTCGAGTCTCATTCACAGCACTAAAGAAGTGTCATTCACAAATGCCTCCAAATTTTTTCTTAGTGATTGAGTCCCTATCAAAAATTTACTTCTGTGTCCGACTCCCACCGCTGTTACCGTGACTTTCCGGGGCAGCACCCTTCTCATCCCGCAGCACCCGGTGCCTTGCCCTCGGGGGCGCCCACTCCGTGCCCGCTGAGGACCGAGGGGGCCGGGATGCAGGGCCAGAGCCACCCTCGGCGGCATCCGGACCCCTGTTTTGAAGCGGCGCTCCCCAGTCCCCACTGGCAGCGCTATC